TTAGACACCTATAACACTAGCCTGTGACGTCATCCAGGACAGGGGTAAAGCTCTTTACCGTGTCCCCAGCCTAACACAGGGCCAAGCACATAAAGATCTGCAATCATGTAACTGTCTTAGTACTTAGACGATTTCCATCGTTGACCTGTTTAGACGTCAAACGTTAATATTGTTTGAATCAAACCAAGAAGAATTAAAGGAAAGCTTTAGAGTGAAGTAAATTCACTGAGTGGTCTCTTGTATGTAGCTGGGGGAAAGGGCGACCAGCTTTCGAGGTTATGGCTCTACCTGAATAAGGTGATATTAGATTACCTTAAAAAGGTTTAACGGAACCTTTGAACTTCAAATACAATATATCTCTGGGGGGAAACGTTTCTACTTGTACACTACAAAGCAGTGCTGTTTTTCCAGCACAAATGCACTTGTGCTAAGATACTGCCTTGATCAACTATTGCTAAAACATGATGAGTGACCTCAGAAATGGGTGTCAGCTGAGCTGATTGGGAGGGACCACGAGTAATACGCACGGCGCCCACACACCTGCCTTACGAGTGACTTTATCATTCCTCCAAAAAGCTGACTAGGACTGGAAGTAGAGACGAGGAAAAACTTTAGGAGGCTGCTTTAAGAGAAAAAAATTGTGGCCTTCTGTTACCTGATGTGCTGTGTGCCTTAATGACATGTAAACAATCTGAAATGTACCAGCTCCATCAAAGATTGCTAAAAAGATCAATCAGTTCTCACTAGAAAGCACAGTTAAAAGTAACAGGATTCAGAAAAGAAAGCCATGTTTTTACAGACATTAAATAGCCACAAAAGCCCTAAAACAGAAAAGGGAACTGAGTGAACTATAAAATTTTACAAAGGTCCCGAAACATAATCACTCAACAGCACGTGACTTGCAAACTCTAAGGGCGATAATGCCGTTTTTTTCTACAAAGTAAATTATTACAGGGAAAGCATGTGATTCTTAGCAGGCAGAAACATACACTTTCCCAAGGAAAGTCCATCATTAAATATATTATTTAAGACAGGCTCATCTTCAGACTATTTTTAATCCCTATCATTCTGCTGCCAAAACTGGCCATAAGCAGCTGATACTCAGCCGCTAGGAAAATGACGCTTTTTCACGTATTTTGTACACTGGCATGAGAATGGTACTGCTTTCCAGTTAATCAAATGTTTTGGTAGATTTGGACTCCACACAGAAGGCAGAAACTGTTTGCTGACCAACCAATAAAAAGGAAGCTAACCTCTACTGGATGTGGAGAAGTAAGTTCCTGTCGTCCTAAACCACAAAGACCAAAAGAAAAAAGAAGAGAAAGAAAAAAAAAAAGTCACGCCACCATCTCATCAACAGAATGAAGCTAATCTCCTGTTAAGTCCCTTCTTTCTTTTAGGATCCCACACCTCTCACTCTGTTCTGGCACATGAAGCTAAATGCTGTCTCATTTCTCAGCTTGGAGGGAGCTATCAATTTCACTCACCATCAACTTTTCCGTATCTCAGTGCTTTGACCGAAAGAGTCCCATCTCCTTGAAGCAATCTGAGAGCCACTCAATGCACCTATAGAACTCAAACTGTGTTATACAAGGGGATAAAATAATAACTAACGGAGCTATCAAAAGAGCTAAGTCTCCTGCCTTTAATTGGAATAGAAAAGCTATTTCACTTTATTGAGATCAATGATGCCAATACAAACTGTATAGCTACCATGAAAAACATTCTTGAGAAGGCTGAGCTTACAATAATTTATCTCCTCTTTTTCGTTCCAACTTATTTCTTCCAAGGATCAGATCACACTAGTAGACATCTGGGAAACAGTCAGCATTCTAGGTAATACTGGAAACCAGCGAGGCCACTGGAATCAGACGCTGTAGGACGGACCCCAGATTATCCCAGATTATCATTTTTCGCAAAAGCTGTCCCCAGGAACCAATGGTAGAGAATAATCAATGTCTCTATTAGGTGCACTCGAAACCTCTAACTCACGTGAACCACCAGTTCAGACTCATTAGCTGTGGGGTGGGAACAGAGGTTCTGCGTCTCTAACAAGCTGCCAGGTGATGCCCCTGCTGTTGGGCTGTGGACCACACCTGGAGTAGCAGAGTCTCAGACATTTCCTAGAACTGCTAGTGTCTCGTGCTGCCTCCATCCTGCAGCCACACAGTGCCTTATTCAGACTTAGGAATAAAACCACACTCCACTCTAACTCAATTTCTTTTTTAGTCTTTATTTGATTTGTAGGCTTCTGGGACTAGCTCTCAGACGCCTATCATTCCAAGACGCTGCTTTCTCCAAGTTCTGGAACATAAAACACAAACAGTTTTCCTTAATCTCGCAAGACTGATTTTGCATCCACAGCAGCAACGGAGAAAAGGGACTTCAAATCTAAAGCCCCCATTACTATATGTGCCGTAGGTGAGCTGATCCATTGAGTCCTAGAAACCACGTGAGACATTGTCAAAGGTCAAAAGGATGTACTACCTCTCTTCTGAAACTTGACCATTGGCATCCAGAGTACTTTACACTATAAGACACAACACGGTATTAGAGAAGAATACTGACTGGTGCAAATTTTGGGGGCAGGGGAAGTCTGTCAGTATGCCATACACCAAACAACAACAACAACAACAACAACAACTACTACTACTACTACCACTACTACTTAGGTTAGTAATGCCCCGTAAGAAAGGATAGGTAAATCACTTATAACTCTCAAATACTAGCACTTTTATTCCAAAGTATCCACTTACGATCCATTTCCTGATATATACTTTTTTTTTTTTGCCAAATTCCCTTGTTTTCCTATATAGCCATCCATCTATATGTTGTCCTGAAAATGACACATTTTATGAACAGCTATTTGTGCCTCTATATGATTTACTTTTACTCTAAGAGGCTTTGTCAAAATATTCTTTATCGTGTTCCATGGTACGTCATTGTGGTTTGGCATCATGAAATATAGCCTCTACATTTATCAATCTCAGATACCTGTTGACCACAAAGGCAGGCTCTCCCAGGAAAACTCTATTTCGAAAGAAGTTAAAAGTGAGCCTTCACTTAAAATGAAAACTCACTTGTACGAGATGTTCATATGGTACACTGCAACAAGACAAAGAGTAGATCATATCTTAATCTCTCTCATAAACATATGTTTAGGTCCCTGTTTCCTATTTTTTTAAGTTAAATTATTTAATGGATGAGAGTTACCACCCTGGATTCCTTTCAGCTAGAAGGAAAATGCTGAAATGTTTTATCATAAAAATACGAAACAGAATTGTCAACTCAGTTTTACTTTGGTCTTACAACCATCCTTTCGGAGTCTAGAACTCTGTACCTTTTTGGTAATGGTGGTTAAAAATAAAACCACCTACTTAACCAAACATTTAAAAAAAATATTCTTTGGCCCTTTAGTGAATTCTTACAGAATTACTAAAGATCTGACGATGTGGGATCTCGAAAAAAACAATTCACAAAGAGCATTTTACATTTTAGGGATTTAAATGGGGATGTTTTACTTTTAAACACTCAACAGCGGCATCAATATTTTGTCAACTTTGATCAAGTAGGATCAGATTTTCATGTCAGCCATCTACTTTTCTTGGCTTTTTCTCTTTTTCTCTTGGCCTTAATGTTAGCACACTTGTAAACTGTAGTAAAATATGTAATGTGCTCCTTGAAATTGAATCCACTTGCAGTCATTTCTAGGCTTTGTGCTCCTGGTAGATCCTATAAAATAGTATCAGTAATTCTCCCTAGAGACTACACAGGGAAGCACTGAGTTGCATCTTTTTTCATAAATAATTCTTCAAATTAAAAGAAAAAAGTCTGAAAAAAATGCTTAGACGAGAATGATCTCTTTTGCTTTTTTCCTAAATTAATAGTTGTAGATAGAAGATGTAGGTCTCAATTACAGTTCTTCAGTCCTAGGGTCTGGACCCTTCTCTCAGAGAATCACACCCAAAAAAATAACTTTATGGTAACACGATGGAATCTCTCTCTAGCACCAGAAAGGAAAAAAAAAAAAAAAACCTCTCACAGATGTTCTTCCAAACTACAGGCATCAATCACTACAACTAGAGTCAGAGCGTGAGAGAATCCACAGCTAAGAGTCAAGTCTTCTACACTTTATATAGATATTGTGGATGCAAATTTTTTCAGCAGAGGAGACCACCAAATGATACGGACTCTAGACGGTGAAGAGGAAAAAGATACCAAAATTGCAGTCAACTTTAAAATCATACACCAGTCATGGAAACAACACAAAGTATGCGGCCAGGACAAACTGTGTCACCAATGAGATAAAACTTCCTTAGCCCAACGCTCTTGAAGACACTCAGGCATGCCCCCTGGGAATGACCGCACACGGCGTGGGATGGAGCTCCCGGGCATTCTGGAAAGTCGACTTACCTCTTTACAAACACAGCTAAGTTTTCCAGGGAAAGGGGGGCTACGTCGGATTTCCTCTTTGGGCAGATTTTACCAAGTGAGTCAGAAGAGGCATGCCCTCAGTCCTCGGGTGAGGTCTGTTCTTCTGATTGGGTGGTTCTGCAATTTTAATACACATCAGAAACCCCCAGGGGAACCTGCTGAGGATGCGGACCGCCAACCCAACCTGGCATCCAGTTCTGAGCAGTCTCGGGGGCCGGGGCGAGGATCCTTGGACCCTCAGTTCCGAGAAACCCTGAAGGGATACCATTTACCTCGAGATCCCACGGGACAGCAAACCCTGGACCTTTAAACCTCAATGTCCGGCAAGCAAGGAAGACACTTCTGGCCGGAAGGAATCATCAAGAGCAGGGTTGGCAGGGAGAGGGGGTTTTTTTGTTTGTTTGTTTTCTGGGGGAGGGCGGGGGCGGGCAGTGTGATTTTATTTCACCGGCTCATCAGCCCGCCTGCCCCTGGCCCAGGAGCCCACCCACACCCCCGCCGCGGGTTCTCGGCCTCGGGTCGGAAACGTCCGGCCGCGACTCCGCTTCAAGCGGACAAGCACCTACCCAGCCTCCGTTGTCCTGGATCCAGGTGTGCAGGTGCCGGTTCAGGTACTCAGTCATCCACAGGGCGATGCTGTCCACCAGGGGCGACATCTCTCGGTTGACGCTCTCCACACACATGACCCCACCGAACTCAAAGAAGGCCACGATCCTACCCCAGTTCACCCCGTCCCTGAAGAGCTCCTCCACCACCGTGGCAAAGCGTCCCCTCGCGGTAAAGGGCGTCAGGTGCAGCTGGCTGGACATCTCCGCGAAGTCGCGGCGGTAGCGGCGGGAGAAGTCGTCGCCGGCCTGGCGCAGGGTCAGGTGGACCACAGGTGGCACCGGGCTGAGCGCCGGGCCCGCGGCGGCGGCGGCGGGGGGGGGCGGCGGCGGCGGCGGGGAGGTCCGGGCGGGCGCGGGGGCGCGCGCGGGCGGGGAGGAGAGGATGCCCGGCGCGGGGGCGGCCCCCGGGGGCGCGGCGCCCGCCTCCCCGGCGTCCCACTCGTAGCCCCTCTGCGACAGCTTATAGTGGATGTACTTCATCACGATCTCCCGGTTATCATACCCTGTTCGCCCAGCCTGCGCCATCCTGCCCCCCCCGGAAACAGCAGCCGGGTACCAACAGCCCCTCTCGGCCCTGCTCCCGCCCCACGGCCCCGAAGGAGAGGATAGTTATAATCCGGCTATTTTATTGGATGTGCTTTGCATTCTTGGATGAGGGGGTGTCTTCAGTCACGCGGAACGCTTGATTCTGGTGTTTCCCTCTTGGCACCAGATGCAGGAAATTTTTACTTAAATTCCTTTCGGATCTTTATTTCATGAGGCACATTATTATTAATTATTGTTAATATCAGTCTACTTCCTCTGTGATGCTGAAAGGTTAAAAAAAAAAAAAAACTAAGTCAAAATCAGGTGCACTTTCCTTTTAAACACGGGGTTGAAGCAGGGCAGAAAGACTACAAGTTACACGGCTTAAAAAAGAATGTATTAAACTGCCTGGACATTAAACTTAACTCGAATGCACTTAAAGTTAAAATCTCAAATGTGTCCACTGAAAGTTACATTAAACCAATTTCCTGTGCAAAGAACTTACTTGTATTTTTTAAGGACAGCATGATCCTCTGTCAAGTTTCCTTTTTTGTGAAAACAAAACAAATGCATAAGGCAAAAGATTCCACCAATCTTCAGAACTCTCCAGTTATAGCTGCTTTGAAACTTCCAAATGAATCAGGAGTTGGGGGCGGGGTGGGAGTGGGTAAAAATTAGGAGAATTTCCAGTTTGATTCCCAGACTTCTCCTTCACAGAAATGTCAATCCGAAGGAATCCCAACTGGAGAGCTCAAGAGCACGAGAGAGGAGAAAAAAAAAAAAAAAAAAGGCAGCGGCGGCGGCAGATGAATTACAATGTTCAGTCCGGTATTTGCAGAAGTCCTGTGATTTTTTCCCCCTCTCGGCAATTTACACACGCACACACACGCGCGGGCACAGACATGGAGCTCTGTCCGCGGGACCGCTTCACGCCTCCACGGGAGACAGACAGGGACGGGGGGCCGGTGGACGAGCCGCGCACGGGGGCAGGAATCCGCTTCTGATTAAACTCCGAACAGCAAATGCATTTTCCGAAAAGCTGCTTGATAAATGAAGGCAGGACGCGCCCGGCCCGCCGGTGCCGAGCGCGAGGAGCCCGCGCTGTGTGTGGTGCGGCAAGGGGTGGGGAGAAGGCGGTGGTGGGGGAGGGTTTTATTTTTTCCCTCTTTTCCTAAAAAGGATGACTGCTACGAAGTTCTCCCCCCTGGACCCCCTCTTCCGCTGCACCCCACCGGCGCACCCCGCCTCCGGGCTGCGCACCCTTTCTCCTCCTCCGGCTGCTGCGCGGCGGCGCTGGCGGCGGCCGCCCCCTCCGCGCTCCCGCCGCGCACCCGCTCCGGGCGAGGACGGCCGCGCCGGCGGGGAGGGCCCGGCGCCCGGCACCTTCGCTGGCGGCGGCGGCGGCGGCGGCGGCGGCGGCGGCGGCGGCGACTCGGCGGGGAAACCGAGAGCGGCGGGCGGGAGCGCGGCGGGCGGGGGAGGGGGCGGGGAGGAAGGGGGCGGGCGCGGGGCGGGCGGCGGGGGTGGGGGGTGGGGGGGGCTGGCCTCTTACTTCATTCTCTCTAACTGACTGGTTTCCTGTACGTACGTCACACGGTTCATTCAAAAAAAAGAAGAAAGAAAGAGCCCTCGGCGGAGCCGCCCCGCCGCCCCTCCGCCCCGCTCCCCTTCCCGGGTTAAAGGAGCCGCGGCCGGGCGGGGAGCGGCGCGCCCCGCCGAGGACACATGGCGCGCGGGCCCGCGGCCGGGGAGGGCGCGCCCGGGACGCCCCCGCCCGCCCGGCCCGCCGCGCTCCGCCCGCCCGCTCGGCCCCGCCGGTGGGTGGCGCGGGCGGCGCAGGCCTCCCGCGCGGCCGCGGCGCGGTGGGTGTGCGAGGGGCCTCCTCGGGCCTGCGGCGGGCCCGGCGGGCGCTCGGGGGGCCGCGAGGGGCCGGGGGCGCGCGGGGGGCCGCACGCCGCGGGCGGGGCGGCTGCTGGGTGGCTGCGCCGCGGACGCCAGCGCCGGGGATCGTTTCAACCCTTTTAACCGAGTGTGTGTGTGTGTGTGTGTGTGTGTGTGTGTGTGTGGTGTGCGCGCGTGGGTGGTGTGTGTAAGCGCCGAGAATCGCTTCAACCCTTTTAACTTAGTGCGTGGCGTGGTGTGCGTGTGTGTGTGGTGTGTGTAAGCGCCGGGAACTGCTTTGACCCTTTTAACCGTGTGTGTGTGTGTGCGCGCGCGCGCGCGTGGGTGGTGTGTGTAAGCGCCAAGAATCGCTTCAACCCTTTTAACTTAGTGTGTGGCGTGGCGTGGTGTGCGTGTGTGTGTGGTGTGTGTAAGCGCCGGGAACTGCTTTGACCCTTTTAACCGAGTGTGTGCGTGCGCGCGCGTGGGTGGTGTGTGTAAGCGCCGAGAATCGCTTCAACCCTTTTAACCTAGTGTGTGGCGTGGCGTGGTGTGTGTGGTGTGTGTAAGCACCGGGAACTGCTTTGACCCTTTTAACCGAGTGTGTGTGCGCGCGCGTGTGTGTGCGTGCGCGCGCGTGGGTGGTGTGTGTAAGCGCCGAGAATCGCTTCAACCCTTTTAACCTAGTGTGTGGCATGGTGTGTGTGTGTGTGTGGTGTGTGTGTAAGCGCCGGGAACTGCTTTGACCCTTTCATCCGAGTGTGTGTGTGTGTGTGTGTGTGTACACACCGTGGTACCCGCTCTTGGCAGCTGCCGGGGAGAAGACCCAGGCCCCTGCTGGCCCGGAGCCGTGGGACCCAAGCCTCAGCCGTGAAGAGAGGCGAGGGAAGCCCCGAGCGTCGTGTTTACTTTCAAGTCGCTTCCTAGGTGTGCAGGCAGAACGCTCACCCCGGAGACACCATCCGTGACCAAGGCCAGACATGGCCCCCAGCGGGCCGGCGGGGGGCCAGGCAGGGGTATCAAGGGCTTTAAAATGGCTAAGTAAATGTTTTCCCTCTGCCCCCGACGCTCGCGGCTGGACGCGGCAGAGGTCTCCAGGGTGACTTTCGGGCCCACGAGCTAACACCAGCGTGGCTGGGTTTCCCAAGGCCTCTAGGGTCGCCCCTTCTCAAGTTATCCCTACCCACACACACACACACACACAGATACATTGTACACACAAGCACACACATGGGTTAATTCATCGGCACGAATAGCCCCAGAAAAAGCACAAGAGAGCAAACAAGTTGTGCGTGTTTAACTATTTTTTTTTTTTATCTCTGAAAGTCTTTGACAAATAAAGTGCCAAGAAAAAAATGTTTACTAAAAGCACAGCGGCTTACCTAATAGGGCTCAAACACAAATATATAGGGACGCTGGATTACAGTGTTCATTGAAACGTGACAAATGAGCACTGCGATGTGTACAAACATGTCCTGGCATCATCTTTATTTTGTCTCATTCCTGGTCTAAAATCAAAGCATGTATTCTGAAGCAAAATAAGCACAAATTATTTTCATTTCATTTATCATACCCAGTCAACCAATGTGCCAAGCTCTTGTATGTAGGAATGGGCGCCTTGTACAAACTTACCGGGGCAGGAAGGGATGAAGGAAGATGGCCCTTCCTGCGCTCTAATGGCTGTGACATGGCAATGGGGTGGGGGTGGGGGTGGGGGCAGGTTCTGGCCTGGAGAGAGACACGGGGCACAGGCTGACCTGGGATGTATGTTCTCACGGAAATGTAGAAACCTGTACCGATGCCACAGCATTATAGTGTAAAGATCTGCTCAGAACCTTGTTTTAAACCCCCAAATTACTTAAGAGGAATTGAAAGCCTTGGTGCTTCTGAGAAACCCAGCATGTGAGGAGGAAATGAGACGACAGAGATGGAAAAGAGACTGTACTTCTGCAAAGGGGCCCCCCAGAAGGAAATGGATCCCCCATTCCCCGAGGAAGAAAAGCCGCCTTATTTTTCCCCCTCTTTTTCTCTCATAGAGCCTCACTTTACAGATTTTCTCAGACTTCCTCCTTCTGTGGCATCTCATTCTCAGGACAGGTGTGCATTACAGTCCTTGCCTAAGATTATATATTCCACAGGAATGTTCTGCATTTTCTTTGTATGGAAAGAGTGAAACAACTCCTCCATTCAGATTTGGTTATCACATTCCACCTTTTTAAAGCGTGAGGGCAAGTATGGTAGAAGTGAAGTGTGTGGATTCACCGTCTGTCTCTGGGTATTGGAGAGGGAGAAGAGAGAGCCCTGGCCTGAGTCAGGAGTCCTGGGTTTGAATCCCAGCTCTGTGCTTGAGATCGTCTAACAACCTTTCATCTCCGTGCCCCGGAGGCTTTCAACTTTGCAAGATGTTTCCCATTTTTAAGAGCCAATGGGCTACTCTTGCCAGCTTCGCCTGGCTGGATTCTAGTAGGGTAGCACCAGGAAAGGAAAGGAACAAGATGCATGGAATGGAGACTGTATCAAGAGTCTAAAAGGCCTGTGTTTTCCTTCTTTATTCTCCAGTCTGCCAAACAAAAAGCTTTTTATTGCCAGTTTTCGCCACCTACTGGCTGTTTAACAGTATCATTCAGAAAGTTCTCTTCATCCATCACCGGTACACTTCCATAGTGTATGAAATTCAAAAAGGACGTTATTGTGATCTGGACGTACAGATGTTCAATATAGGCATGTAGTAAGTCTTACTAATTTTTTTTTATTTAAAATGATAGACATCATTCATTAACTGAGAGAGAAGTGACAACTAATAGGTAAGGTGAACCAGTTACAAATACAAAATGCGACCCCAAACCATTCAGGCAAACTGAAGTGGAAATGAACGCATACACAGAGTGAACTGACCAGAGGGAGTAAAAACAAGCAGTTCACATAACCTACATAAAAAACGAACTGTTTTAAAAAAATAACATCTCCCAGGGGCGCCTGGGAGGCCCAGTCTAAGGTGAAGCATCCAACTTAAGCGCGGGTCATGATCTCACTGTTCGTGAGTTCAAGCGCCCACATTGGGTGTGCGGACAGCTCAGAGCCTGGAGCCTGCTTCACATTCTGTATCTCCCTTTCTCTCTCTCTGCCCTCCCCCGCTTGTGCTCTGTCTCTCTCAAAAGTAAACATTAAAAAAATAAAAAACAAAACAAAACAAACATCTCCCAGGCCTAGACAAACAATCCAAAATGCTAAATTCCAATTTCAGGTGTCTTCTATATTATTGTTTCCCACTTTATTGAGATGCAATGGACATATCTTACATATTAGGTATTCTGATGCTCAGTAGTGTCATGTGCCTTCAGATGGTTTGCCTAAGTTGTTGGTAATTATAATAATGTTGTTATTATAATACTAATTGCCAACTAGCATCAGTTGCTAACAGTAATACTGTTCCCAATTCATTAATGGTCCAGAGCCTATCTTCTGGCATCTAGTTCATTTGCTATGTGCTCTCAAACCATCCTTGTCCTCATGAGGAAAGTTTTTGCAAAACCTAATCCAACAGGCCTTGGTTTAACTGAGAAACCTACCTGACTAATTTATGGTGGGTCTTAAAGCTGAAAAAAAAAAAAAAAAAAAAGTTTATTATAATTAAGTAACAACCTTTAAAACCAGGCAATGAACTGCTGACAGAAAAATGCTTCTGTTGTGTGAGTTTGGTAGTGCGCATATAGTGTTTCCTTCCGGTTTGCAAAGGCAAGTGCAGGAAATTTACTCACGGCAATTTCTTTTCCTTTGAAATTCATGGCTTGGCATTTAGAGTGAAAATAAAATTATATTTTTTCAAACAGCTACTGCTCTCATTGGATTGAAACTGCAGTAATGGGGAGTGCCTGGGTGGCTCAGTCGGTTGAGCGTCTGACTTCAGCTCAGGTCATGATCTCATGGTTTGTGAGTTCAAACCCCGCATCAGGCTCTGTGCTGACAGACAGCTCAGAGCCTAGAGCTTGCTTCAGATTCTCTATCTTCCTCTCTCTGCCCCTCCCCTGCTCACGCTCTGCCTCTCTCAAATAAATAAATGTTAAAAAATTAAAAAAAAAAAAAAAAAGGAAACTGCAGTAATGAACCAAACAAGATAAAACACCATAGTATAGAGGGGGGATAAGCAAAGAATTTACATTCTTCTGTGCAATAACTTTTATTCTCTTACATGATTTAGCACAGAGCACAGTATCTCCCGGATATTACTTACTGATAAACACATATAGAGAAATTAAGGTTAATATTTTTGTTTCCCTAGGGCTGCCATAACAAAGTACCACAAACTAGGCGTCTTGAAACAGAAATTTATTCTCCCACAATTCAGGAGGCTTGAAGTCCAAAATCAAGGTGTCAGCTGGACCATGCTCCCTCTGAAGGCCTTAGGGAAAAATCTGTCCTTGTCCCTCTCCAGCTTCTGGTGGTGGCTGGCAACCCGCGGTGTTCCTTGGTATGCACCTGCGTCACTCTGATCTCTGCCTCTGCTGTCACATGGCCTTCCTGTGTCTCTGTTTTCTGTTCTTGTAAGGTCTCCAGCCATATTGGATTAGGAACCTAATAACCTCATCATAATTTGGTTATATCTGTGAAGACCCTATTTCCAAGTAAGGTCACATTCACAGGTTTTGGGGGTTGGGACGTTGACATCTTTTGAGGGCACACAACTCAACCCATAACAATATGTACCCAATATGGGGCCTTTCAAAGTAATGAGAATTGTTTACTCCAAGGTTCAAGCGCTCAGCAACCCCATGGTTCCCTAGGTTCAAGGGGAACCATGATCTTTTTACATGTCTTTTATTTATTTAATTTTGAGAGAGCACAAGTGGGGAAGGGGCACAGAGAGAGAGAGAGGGAGACACAGAATGTGAAGCAGGCTCCAGGCTTCAAGCTGTCAGCACAGAGCCCGACACACAAGGCTTGAACCCACAAACTATGAGATCATGACCTGAACCAAAGTCAGACGCTTCACTGACTGTGCCACCCAGGTGCCCCAGAACCATTAGAGCTTTTTAAAGTTCTATTTCATATTTCTGCTCAAAGTTCTTCATAAGTTAAAACTCAGCTCCTCTGCAGGGAATGATCTGGTGCACATCTACCACCTGGGCACCACCCTTTCCCTATGCGTTCCCTTCTTACGGCTGTATTAACTCTGTGTGCTTTCTGGAATCCACCGAAGTCCCTCATGTCATTTGCCCTGGTCCATCTGCTTGTATCACTGAAATGCACCCAACCTTCCAGCAGCAAGTTTTTACTCATTCCTCACTTTTCATCTCCAGAACTTCCTTTCCTCTGAGACCATGGCTCACTTCCCTGGAAAGTTCTAGGAGCCCACAAGACGGTCAGTACTGAGGACAGAAGCTTCAAAGTCAGAAAACAGGGGTTTGGGTTTGGGCTCCATCACTTAGCAGCTGCAGCCTTGGGATAGTTACTTAACTTCTCTGTGCCTGTACCCCTCCGTATTGGGGAGGGGTATAAATAGCACCACTTGAGGGTTAGCGTATGATTGAAATGAATTAAATGTGATACACTCACAACAGTGACTGGCACAGGCTATGTTTTTCAATGTTAATTATGATCTGTGAATCAGAGCTACTGTCAGATTCACAGTGTGATTTCTGGCATATGTTTTCCTCCGTAGATTATAAACTATTTGAGGACAGGGACGATATTTTTCCTTTGCGCATTCCCAGCCTAGAAGAGTCTCTGACATTCAAACATTTGTGGCATAAAATTCAGAGGCTCCAAGCTGAAGAAAGGAATGGGGAATGGTTCCTCTTTCTCCAGGAAGACTTGTAGAGCCTTCAGAAGGAAGGCAGGGGGAGGGAAGAAACAAGAAATGTAATCACCACCAGGGAGAGACTAACTATACTGATGGTATCCCTGGGTGCCTAGATACCGAGCTCATCACAGGCACTCAATAAATATGTCGAAAGCGGATAAAATGCAGATTTAAAATCAGGAATGGAACAGAAGAAATTTTTTGTTTCCTTTTTAAACACCTCAGTGTAAAAATTACAGAAGGGATGTCATGTGCCATTAATGTATATACGTCTCTCAAATTTAAAGAAAGCTTAAGTTTGCAAACCAAGATGTCCAAAGAATCTCTTCACAATGTAAACCAAATCTCCCGCTTAAGGACTGAGAAATATTAAGGCATGTTATTTTATAGATCAGTCTTCTGTGCCCCTCAGGATCTAAGAGGTATTTCACTGTTAATGTATACGAGCTTAAAGTATGGGGAATCGGGGTGCCTGGGTGATTCAGTCGGTTAAGTGTCCAACTTTGGCTCAGGTTATGATCTTGTGGCTCGAGTTTGGACCCTGCATCGGGCTCTGTGGTGACAGCTCAGAGCCTGGAGCCTGCTTCGGATTCTGTGTCTCCCTCTCTCTGCCCCTCCCTTATTCACACACAGTCTCTCTTTTCTCAAATATAAATAATCATTAAAGATTAAAAAAAAATAAAGTATGGGAAATCTATTTGTTTTTATATGAAACATAATTACATTAAGAAATTTTACTAAATTCCACATTTCTTATCCTTTTACTCATGTCTCCCCCATCTGAATTAAACAAACACAGAACATATTTGAAACAAGAGCTCAGAATACCAAGCACTTGTTCTGAAAATACTACTTCCTAAAAAATGATCAAAATCAAGCCTTGCCAATGTTTAGGATGCAAGGTTAGGAAAACATTATGAAAGAGATCTGTGTTTTGCTTAAATGTCTCTTAAAAATGCAAATTTCTAGAAAAATAAATGTTCGAATCTGTAAAGCGTGTTCCCCATTTATTTTTTTTGTTGTTGTGATTCAGAAATACAAGATATGAAAATTAGGTTACAATTCTGCCACAAAAGCTTCCAAAGTAGCAAACACAAGTTCTAATATATATCAAAATAGCCATGTGCATTCTCACACTTTAAAAACGTCTTTAAAGTTGCCCCATCAAGCAAGTGTAAAATATAATAGCTACTATCTCCTTTTCAAAATATCAAATTCTGCCATCACTGCACTGAACTAAACAAGATTTAGTGCAGGATATGGAGGGTTATGGTTAGTACGTACTGTTTAAAGCCGAGTTACTAATAAGAACTAAGGACATGAGAGAGATACGAAGCATCGTATGTCAAAGACTATGAATATTTAAGAGGGTCCTCATATGAGTAAGACATGTTTAAATTAGAACATGACATAATAAAATTAAATCTGTTGATGATACAATTCAGTAAAAAAAAAAATATGGTATCGCCTTCTTCTAGAAAGACAAAGACATGCAATTCTTTGAATTGAAGCAACTATTTCCAAAACGCTCTTGTCATCTAAATATTAGAATCGATCTCTCAAGGTTTCACTTCCAAGAATCAATAGTACGTGGTCTAACAAATAAATTTATAACATATATCCCTATTAACATACAGAGGCCATTATTGACAGCATTTTCAATTTCTTCTCTTTTCAGCTTTGAAAATTAAATATTAACAAATACAGAAAAGAACAACTGCTTTGTTTTCTGTCAAAAGAAATGAGGCTTCTTTTGTAAACCTTTCTCAATAAGGAAGGGTCCTTGAACATACTTTGGAATTTCTATGGATGAATGACATCAGGCATTTTTAAATAAATATACTCACAAATATACTATAATTAAACAGTAAAACCAAAGCCAGCAGAGGCAAGAACATTAGAACTGACACACAACAAACTTGTTGGCTACTAACAGAAAGCCACGTGTCAACAGAACTGTAATTAAACTCCTTCTGACACAGGGGACACATCCCCATTTCTGTTCCATCAATGACCCCTTTAAAAAAAAAAAAAGCCAATAGTTTCCTGAACAATCTGACGCATGTTTTTTTTGTTGTTTTCCTTCTCCTGAGCAAAAGAAAACAAGTCTGCGTAAAAAAAAAAAAAAAAAAGAATAAAAATTGAGCCAAAAAAGATAAAAAATAGAAGTTGCCTTTGTCATATTTTCATGTTTTGGACGAAGTCAGATCTTTGTGTGAGGCTGACTGTCTATAACCCTTTACCAAACCCTTAGGCCAGATGAGTCTCAGATTTCTTAATTTGTTAGATTTGGAAAAGGCATGTGGGGCACGTACTGGATACGATGGAACATCTCCATGGAATCTGGGGCAGTACTGACAATCACTCACTGGTGTTTCTTCAGGAAAAATGAATGATTAGATGAAATGGGTAAATCAAAACTATAATACGTCAGGTTTTGCTATCAAATGAATAATGGCACTAAATTTAGAAAGAGTGGAAAAAAACACCTTAGTTTTCAAACCTTTCTGGATATAGAGCTTTGGCCCTTTGCCATCTCTGATTAAAAAAAAAAAAAGCTCACTCCCCTACATTTTGATTTCTACAAAATGTCCTCTCATGAGAGTGTCAGTTGGGCTGGGGATAACATTTCCTGCCACGGGACAGGGGCTCTTAAATTTGTTCAGGTAGCAGATTACCCGGAGGTAACAGTATAGTCTATGAGGATACCTTGAGAAATGTATATGTTAAATAGGTAATTGTATTATTAAATGAGACACCATCTTGGACTAGATTTTCATATAGACCAGCAGGAGAAAGTGCCAATATTCAAGGAACCTTTATGAGAGAAAAAAATAAAAGTGAGAAACGTCCAGATATTCACATGAATGTTTTCTGCGAATTAAGGAAAATATAGCCATTACTCTCTCTTAGAGGCTGTGAAATATGACCTAACCTTGTTCACTAACGATGGCCATGTAAGACTGAAAGATTCATGAAACGATGATGGCGTCCACCCACCCCCATAAACTGCAATGAGTCATTCCAAGCAATGTATATATTAAATAATAATTTCTTCTATCTTTGTCAGTGTTAAAATATGCCATTCCCAGATCCTCATTAAAAGGATACCATGGGGGAAAGCCATTCAACATCTTACTTTAAAGAAAAAAAATTAAGTCATTTTGAAGTCAAGAGGTTCAAAAACTCAAGAGCAAAACAGGTTTGCCATCATTTTTAAGTCTTTAATGTCTTGTATGCATAGTATATGCATATTTGTATATGCGGGGGGTGGGGATAACATTATGAGGAAGGTGACTGTCCTTAAGCAGGGGGGGCAAGTTACAGTGATAGCATGAAGCAGGGAATGTTGGCCAAACTCATCAGAGGCACTTATTGTGGAAATCCACTAACGAAACCACAGAGCCTGGGATCTGAAAACAGCACTCACGGGGCCGAGAGGGTCCCAGGGCTCCGTGGCAGAGGTGGTAACTGGGCTTCCTTACCACATGGCATGAAGAGAAGGTTCTCTGGGTCAGCAGGAGTCACAGAAAGGATGGGTGATCACTTTCTCTCCCAAACTGGACATCTGCACAGTCGGCCCTGTCCTATCTTCTTTTCCTTAACGAGGAAAATACAAATGTACGCTCATCAGCCTTTCTTAAAAGCTACATGTTTGCTACGAGAAGAATGTCACACTTTTTCATTTTTTTTCCATCTGTTTTTAATTAATTCATGAGTTAATTTAAAAAGTCAAGTCAAAAAATTTTCACTGGTCATTTTTTGGTTTTGGTTTTGGTGTTTTGGTTTTTGGTTTTTTACAAAAATATTAGAGCAGAATCAGCAAAATTGGAATGGAAGGGATGGGAAGAATGAAAAGACCCCTCTAACGGAAAGGGCGGGTTCCACATCACCATGGCTATTGAAGAAATTGTAAACTTTTAAGCTTCTAAGATTTTATTTCTCTTCAGAAAAAAATTTGGGAGGCTGCCTTTCCCCAGGAATGAAAAATGCAAAGTGCTCTAAGCATTCGAGTCTACCTAAAGAAGGCAGGAAAGTGTAATTTTTCCTCCTGGGAGATACTTCTCTCTTTCCCTTCCACCGCCCTGCCCTCTCTCATCCCCTGTAGTTTTATGGGATCAGAGAGAGAGAGAGAAGCGAGGAGTGTCTGCCAGGAGCACTGTGAGTCAGGGGCTTTCTCTTGCCTTCAGACACTCCAGCAGTGTGTGAAACTCCTCTTGAATAAAATACGTCACGTTAAAAAGAGGGCGGGGGGGGCGGGGGGAAGGCCCCAGAAACCCATAAACTGCCTTTCACAGAAGGTTAAAAATGTCAAGATTTTGTCCTATGTATCATAAGGTACATTTTTGGACTTAATCTTAGTGGAGGAAGAAAAAGAGAAAAAAGAGAAGAATGTAAATGATCGCTCTGGAATGACGTTCTTGTTCCCCGCTCACATGCCATTCGGTCCCGTACGGTCATCATGTCTCCACCTCAGACAACAGGGGCCGCCTGTTCCATATTTGCATAGTATGAATAACATCGCCTGGAGCTGAACTTCGGTCCCTTTCCCTGTGGCCGGGTTTGTGAAGAGCGCTGGTCCAATCTCACACAGTCAAAAGCAACACGTAAGTGTCTGTAGGCCAAAAACTGGGTCCCTTTAAGCAGCAAGCCGTTCAGAGTATTTAGAAATAGTCTTTTCTCCAGGGGTAAGAATTAGGCAGTTTTGTCTGTGACTTCGGATTTCGCTCTCTGCATCATGCAGCGACGGACTATGCTGTCGAAACTTCCAAGGTAAAACAGAGCAATGGTGCGGAAGAGGCCCATGGTCACCACCTGCGAGACAGACAGAGACCCTGAGCTTGTCCAACAGCACAAAGCAGTAGCTCTCCATTGGGTGTTCTATGCAAACCAACTTGACAATAAACTATTTGTAAAAAAAAAAAAACGAAAAAAAACAGTAGTTCTCTTCAAGGGTTGGGTTTTTTTAAAGTTTAATTTATTTTGAGAGAGAGAGAACACAAGTTGAAGACAAGCAGAGAGAGAGAGAGGGAGAGAGTGAATCCCAAGTTCGCAGAGCCCGATGTGGGGCTCGAACTCACGAACCGTGAGATCATGACCTGAGCCGAAGTTGGATGCTTAACCAATTGAGCCACCCAGACGCCCCTGATAAACAGTTTCTAAGACACATCTTCTAATCTGCTCCAAGGATAAGCATGATGAAAACCCCAAAAGAATCAGGAGAACACGGAGGACGGGAGCCATCCACTCTGCACCCCTGGACAGCACGTGTCCATCAGAGAGGTTAACAGCACAGTTAATAAATTCAAATTGTACAGAGAATAAAAATAGGTATTCTCACGAGTCCTAGGCTTCTCGTTGCTAGGGAAGATCCACTCCGGCATCCCAAATATCCAAACTACCATCAAGGCGTTCTGGTTCAAGGCTTATGTTCTGAGCACAGAAGTCAGACCCTATGCTAGGCGTGAACACCAGGGCGAGAAAGATCCCGTGCTTGCTCTCCACGAGCTTTTGCTAATTGGAAAGACAACCGACCGGAGGAGGCAATTACGGTGTCCGGTTGAGACAGCAGATGTCCATTAACTGTCACTCTTTCTGCCACCACACTGTCACTGCAACACCTCTGAGTGGAAGTTTTTAAAGTCCTAGGAATGCAAGAAGCATTTTCAAATATGCTAGTTCTCAAAAACTTTGCCTCTCCATGCATCCTTTTCCGAAAAAGTATTACAAGAGTTAAAAAGGCACATCAAGGAGTCAACAAGGAAAAACAATGTCATGTGACCCAGAAAGCAGGGGACCCAACGCCGATGAGAGGCAGAGGGGACCCCCAGGCATGTGGCAGTCAGTCCTGATGGGGGGGCTCAGAGGCTCCAGGAAGGATTCTTCCAGAAGGGGAAACTGATAAGAGTGTCTGATATGTCAGAGAGGAAATGAAGACGGTCATTATTAATAATACATAGAAAAAGGCCAGTAAGAGTTCTGGGGAAAACAAAAAGGTTGTATAAGAAAGGAGAATTAATTATGTATAATACAGAGTTCAGCTGCGAAGAGCATTTAAACAGATGACCTCAAATACAAAACTAACCCAAATCACAACGTAGGTAAAAAGGGAGGGTGCGAATGGAGGAGGTGGCTGTAAGTGGAAGGAGGAGGGTGTGAAGAAGATCCAACACCTCATCTTTCTGGGTAGAAACCAGCGCAGGAGGCAACGCAGTCTATACCCGGGACGCACTCTGGGTGGTGATGTGGAGGCGGCCCTCAGGGGGACCCCACCCCCCACCCCCGGGGCCCAGCGACCAGTGGTTGCCCGGGGTTCGGGAGGAGGGCGGAGCACAGCAGAATGTTCCTGCTCGGGAACTACCCCACGTGACAGCGTGACGGTGGACACGTGGCATACGTACGTGGCAGCTCTACACCTCTATTGCAGGTGTGGCCCCAAGGCTGAGCCCTAATGTAAACCAATGACGCCTAGAGGCTGGCTCATCAACTGTGACAACAGAACATGCTAACTGATGCCAGATGCACAGAATGTGGTGGGGGGGGGCGGGGACAGAGAGAGCTCCCTAATTTCAACTCAAAAGTTTTTTTTTTAATGTTTTATTTATTTTTGGGAGAGAGAGTGTGAGCAGGGGAGGGGCAGAGAGAGCGGGGTCAGAGGATCCCAAGTGGGCTGTGCTGACGGCAGGGAGCCGGATGCGGGGCTCCGGGAACCCTGAGATTGTGACCTGAGGGTAGGTCCACCCAGGCAACTCGGTCCAGCCGAGCCACCCAGGTGCCCCTCAACTCGAATTTTCTGTAAACACAAAACTGTCCTGAAAATTAAAGTTTATTATTTTAGAAGAAACAACACCTAATGGAAAGAAAAACACATGAAGAAAAAGCAATGGTAACACCGCATGCCAAAACACTAAAATAGTTACGTCCAAGGAATTTAACTGTCTTGGAGTTTTCTGGAAAAGAGCAACAGTTAAGGTGAGACCTGAAGGAAGACTGGAAGCTGGTCAGACAAAGGAAGGCCGGGGGTGGAGGGGCAGAGACAAAGTCGTGTAAAGAGGAGGAGAGTGAGCAGAGTGGAGGGTCGGAGCCTCACGCCACACGATGAGGTGGAGGCTTTACCTCAGGGGTACTGGGGAGCCACTGAGGGTTGCCACGCCGGGAGGCTCTGCAGTTCAGAAAAAGCAGTGTGGAAATGTGATGGCTCGCTCTGGCGCACCGAGGCCTGGGGCGGGCGCTGCCAAACCCCCGGGGGGGGGTGGGGGGGGGCTCATCCCAGGAGGGGCTGCCACCTGCCCCAGCTGGTCACTGCCAGGTGAGAATCAGACCCTGTGCTCTTATGCCGTCCGATTTGCCAAGAGAAGTCCAAAATCTGTACTTTTTATGGAAAATGTAATTAAAAAGTTTTTGTTTGAACAAGCACACTCGTACCAGATGAACCAAACGTTTTACAGGCCCTTGCGCCCCCAGGGAGACCTCTGGCTCGCAGAGGGTGACCCCAGGCGGGGAGCCGACTGCAGTGTCCCAGGCCTGAACTGCAGGAGCGACAGCCGCCCCAGAAAGGAGCGGACCAGGGACGGGAGGGAGGGACGGACCTGACCCCTCACGCGAGGGGCAGAAGGAGGGGTCCACCTCTTCCTCGTTGGGCTCTGGAGTGAACACGAACACTGATCCTGATCCCGGGGTCCATGCGGCATCGGGCCTGGGGGGTGGGGACGGGATGCTGGGACACAGGGCTTTACCGTGGGCATGCCGCCCAGGGGGGGGGGGGGGGGGGGGGGGTCCCAGCCCAGGGGAAACGGCTAAGAGAAACGCACACAGCACCGGAGCAGAGGAAGCGGTTCTGCGCTGAAGTGTTAGGTTTGGCATCTCTCGTGCGGAGGTAGAAGGGACAAGACGGCCAGTCAGCCTTTCTGAGGCTCCCGGTATGTGCCCGGCGCGGGCTGTCGGGGCGTCACGTGACACAGCCTCTATCTCTGTGAGAGGGCCACAGAGTCGGGGGAGAGAAGAATGAGGAAAACCCACGCCCGAGTCATTTGGGTTTTTAGTCTGGACACGGTCGACGGCACGTACCTTCGTACCTGGTTATAAACTGCCCATCAGCGTAGACAGGCCCCTTCTCAGGCAGCCTGCCCTCCATCCACACGCCACCACCCGCCCTCTGGGCCGTGCGGAGCCAGCGCTCTGTGGGACTCTGGTTACAGGACACTGCACGGACGTCACTCTCCCGCCGTCTCTCCCACTAGCCCGCGAGCCCCGGAGGCGGGAGACACTGCTTCTTCCCCTCTGACTCCCCAGCAGCAAACGCACCCGGCACGTCCCCAAGCAGTTAGCTTTCGTGTGGCCTGGGTGGGCCTGGACTTGTGTGAGAGCTGGGTCTGCACTGAATCCCCAACTCGGGACCCCCCGAGGCCTAGCTGCCTGTGACCTGACTCACCGAGGAAAGGCGTGCTGGTCTGATATCCAGTACCTGACATCACTGTACCGCAAACGCTCGGGTCAGTGGTTCTCACCCCAACAGCAGAGGCGGCCTCCCCTCTCTGCGTCCACAGCGCCCAGAACACGGAAGGCTTCTCCCCTGTCGAACCCCTCCGGTGGTATCTTTAACTTATGTCCAAGTTTCGTGTCCCTGCCACGGGGAGGGAGACGACTGACACCACGGTGAAAAATCTTTCCCACCCTCAGGTAAAGACCTGAGTCTTCCTGTAGCCTTTTCTCTTCGGGGTTTAATGAGAGGCACAGTGTCCTCCCCGCTGCTGAGGTCGGCACAGCTCACCTGCTGGAGCCCTTCAGTAATAGAAGTCACAGGAGCCATTCCACAGGTCAGGGACGAGAGCATGTACCCATCTGAGCCGATGGAACTGTTAAAATTTCCTTGCTAAAACAAAAGGAAAAGAGGCAACCGTGATGACCAGGAAAGGAGTCAGCAAGACGGAGACAACGAAGTGTGTCCACTCTAGGGGGCACACGAGGGGAACAGAGCCTATGTCGGAGCTCACGGACGAAAGTGGCCTTGGCAGACGGGCTGGAATAGCGACACAGGTGGTTCTCAAAATGTCTGTCCACGGACGCTGGGGCTCCTGAGACCCCTTCGGGGGATCCAGGACGACAAAATCATGGTCTTAACAATATGAGGACCTTAAGTGCCTTGTCAGTGAGTCACATCGGTATCGATGGGCAAAACTGCTGGCTCATTAGCACAAACCACAGGAGCAGCAACACTCTGCTCCACACACACTTGCAGTAATAAATGTACAGAAATTTAAAAAGTATTTAAAGAGGCACCTGGGTGGCTTAGTCAGTTGAGTGTCTGACTTTGGCCCAGGTCATGATCGCACGGCTTGGGACTTCGAGCCCTGCATTGGGCTCATTGCTGTCAGCGCAGAGCCTGCTTCTGATCCTCTGTCTCCCTCTCTCTCTGCCTCTCCCCCGCTCATCCGCTCTCTTTCAAAAATAAACATTTTTAAAAACTCTTTAAGAAAGTTTTAAATATCAGTTTTGCTTTAAAATGTCCTTGATAGGGGCTCCTGGGTAGCTCAGTGGGTTGAGCGTCTGACTCTTGATTTTGGCTCAGGTCATGATCTTGCAGTTCAAGAGAACAAGCCCCACCTTGGGCTCTGCCCTGACGGTGTGGAGGCTGCTTGGGATTCTCTCTCTCCCTCTCTATCTGCACCTCCCCCGCTTGCTCTCTCAAAATATATAAACTTAAAAATGTTCTAAAAATATAATAAAATTCCTTTGATAAAGCAATAAAATTACTCATTTTATCTAATCTCAACCCTTAAGGGCAAGTCTTCTTAAGAGCCTACATCACAAAAAGAGGAGGCACCCAAGGCTTTTTGCCGTGTTCCATACCCAAGACGGGGTGGGGGGCGGGGGGGGGCTTCCCGGCACGAAGGCCCTCCTCCGACCATTTAAGTCATGAAACTTAATCAATGGCTATTCAGATTTGGGTATCTGGGAGACATTTTGTGGAACACAAATGACAGGAACCTGTGACTTCAAGGAAAGTTGGCAGCTTTTATGGTCAATGTTAAAATCTGAGCTTTCAAGGAAAACATGCGATTTGTGAAGCCCTGTCCGCCATTGTGAGCCTGTCTCCCAGTATGTAAAGACTTTTATGCTAAGACCAGCAGTGACACGAATGGTTGAAATTTTATTTTTTGGTAACTCCGTGAACCCATATTTTCCACATGACGAATGCATAACATTACAAACTCATGAATGGGTACAAAACATGCAAAGTGCAAAGACCAATGGGTCTTAATGTAACAGAGAACAAAAAGTTCATTAATGTGGCTTCCAATTTCATACTGTAATTAACCTTTAAGAAACTACTATTCATCCGGTTTGGATTTCATATCAAAGAAGAATGTCTACAATTATCTCAAAAGCCTATTTAACGTTCCTGCCTTCCCTAACTACGTATCTGTGTAAGGGCAGATTTCTTTTATAACCTTCACTCCAAATAACATTTTAGGGCAGGCGAGATGTGGAGGCAGTGGGAAAAGTCCAGCTGTCTTCTCTTCACACAAACATTAAAGAGGCTGGTGAAAAGTAAAACAATGGCACTTTCCTTTCTCAAGTTGTGTTTTGAAAAACGATTCTTATAGAAATGTTGCATTAAGATGTAATGGGTTTATTGTGGATTAATAAATATTTTTAGATTATGCATTTTTAATTTCTAATATGGCAAACATTGATAAATATACGCATGTAAAGAAGTCTCTGGGACTGTTGATAGTTTCGTGTGGAAAGTGGTCAAAACAGTTTGAAGACCACCTGACTCGATGAACCCCACCAACCTACAAAGAGCTATTTCAGGTCACTCAAAGCACAGAGCATGTTTGCCTAGACCTCAGGGAAGCAGGAAAAGCAGAGTCCGCTCAATCCATTATTGCCATCTTTCTGTGCCCTGTTTTTCTAATGTTTATTTTTGAGAGAGAAAATGCAAGTGAGGGGAGGGGGCGGGAGGGACAGAGGATCTGAAGCGAGCTCTGTGCAGACATCAGTGAGCCCTACGTGGGGCTTCAACTCATAGACCGTGAGGCCACGACCTGACCCGAAGTCAGACGCTTGACCGACTGAGCCACCCAGGGCGCCCCTTTTCTGTGCCTTTGAACACAGCGCACACAGGTCTTCCGACTCCATGTAGCGTAATGGAGCTTGGCATTGCTGGTATTCTGCTCAGCTGCGGCTCATGCAACAGCACATACGGCCCTTCAGGAAGACTGAGCAGCCCACTGACGCCTCATTCTGAGGGTCCTCAAACTTCTACACGCAGAGTAGGCTTGAAGTTTGCAGACATTCCCCATTGGTGTACGTTCTTCTGCACGTGGGCGACAGGATGGTGTGAAAAGTTTGTGGCAATTGGGGCGCCTGGGTGGCTCAGCTGGTTAAGCATCCGCCTCTTGGTTTTGGCTCAGGTCATGATCTCACAGTTCAGGAGTTCAAGCCCCGCATCGGGCTTTGTGCTGACAGAGAGGAGCCTGCTTCGGATTCTCTCCCTCTCTCTCCACCCCTCCCCTGCTCAGGCTCTCTCTCTCTCAAAATAAACAAACAACTTAACAAGTCTGTGGCACATATGTTGTTTTATAAAATGTCAGGCTCCAAATAAACTGAGTACCCTGGATGCACATGGTCTGGGTGGACAGGACGGTGGCCCAGTGGGCTTGGACACACTTCCTGATTGGTGAACATTTGGAAAAAGGACAATGGGAAGCAGGAAGGTGAAGGAAAAAAATCCTTACTCAATGAGTCAGGCATTCAATGCAGTGCCTGCCACTGTCTCTAACAGCAAGTGCTGTGGGCAAGCAGCAGAAGGCAGATCCATACACACAACGGGGTCCCTGCTGTTCACACAGCGTGTGAAGGTCTCAAGTTCTTTTTAAAGAACCGAAGTTCCCAGACATCCTTACTCATCAGTCTGTTCCTAAGGTTGAGATACAGACTTAGTTGCCAGGAGCTGACGTGGCTCTTTATTGATTCCATTAACATGGAATCAATAAAGCATCTATGGGAGGAAGAGTGAAGTCCAACATCAGACATGAATCTGGCCAAGAAGTCACAAGGATTTATGCTTTAAAATATGCGCTGGGACAAATACAGTATTTCTTTTCAGAAATCTCGTATCACAACTATCAATAAAGAAAACAAGGACTGTACTTACTATGGCATCTTTAACAATTTGTTTGGCCACTTGCTCTGGTTTACAAACTGAAATGGTCTCTGAAATCAGGCGAGTCTCCAGAGGCTGAAGGTGGGGGAAAAAATGGGTGTATCAGTACCATTATAGGCCATTAAATTAGAGAGCAAATAATTCTTACAACCCTTCTTCCCCTTCTTTATAAATAATTCCAGTTTTCTATCTCTGAGCACATTCCTACTGTTAGAATCAGGTCCGTCTGGATTCCGAATCAGTTTCTACCTGGTTACTGTGTACAATTTAGCCCAGCAGCTGAAGCAAGCTCAGGAGGCCCTTGCCACTCTCTGTTGGACACGTGTGGTCTCAGCTCCAGTGAGGGCCACAGGACCACTAAAGCTAGAATACGACCATGTCACTGGTAGCATCCTGGTAGAATCCTCACTGCTGGCCAGACACCTGAGCGACAGTGTCCACGCAGAGCCTCGACCATGCGTCCTGAGCAAGTCTGCTCTGATGACCAGCCTCTCTGTTCTGACCAGACTCCCAGGCTAGCAAAGCACTGACCCGGGGACAGAGCTGGGGCCATGGGGAAAGACAGCTCCAGCCCAGCCCCTGTTCAACAATGCAGCTGTTTCTTAAAGGACCCACCGAGGAGGCGGGGAGGGGGAGGCTGGGACAGCGAGCCCTGAGTGGCCCCTGGCACGGGCTGTGTGCCCGTTACCAGGCTGTGGCATCAGAACCACAAATCGAAGGTGGTTAAAGGCCCACCTCAACTGTCACCTCGTTCAAAAAGCCTTTCCTGAATTCTTAACTGGCGGTACTTTCTCTTTGCATCTTTGCATGTTTCTGCCTTAATACGTATTATAGCTACTTGAATATTTGCATTTTACCTCCTAAGTTCTTTGCGGGAAAGGGCTTTTTTCCCCTTTTAAAAAAATCTTTCTTAAGGTGACATAAACACGTGCTCAGAAATTCTTTAAAAGGGAGTTTCAATTTGAAGTTTTAAAACTTAAAGCCTTAAACTGCATGCAACTGTACATTTTATTTACCATGTAGGTTTGAAAACATTAAAATAAAAAGCAGAATGTATTTTCTTAAATTAGAAAAGCATATAGCACTTCATAAAGGCCAAGTACTTCTTGATGAACCTGACTTAAGAGAAAGGTTCTTTTGAAAGTGTGTTGTTCCTTCTTCCAGACCACCAGGCTGGCATCACCACGCCAGACATTAGATTGAAAAGGACTATGGCGCCCCCTACAGGGCTCACACATCAATACAGATTTGATTTACCCAAAGTTGGCTCAACACTGTACCAGACGAAAAAAACCCCAACTTAACATCAAAATCAGATCTTCACAGAGAAATCACCACTGTTCATCAGCTTTGGCTTCAAACAAAAAGACTGCTCACCAAATGTTACAAATGTGCTCGGCAGACCCCTGCTTATTCCAAGACAGGGCATTTGGCTTAAATGTACTTCTTTGAAATAGTTGTCATTTTAAGAGGAAGAGTCAAAAAGAAGGGAATAGGGAAAAAGATTTTCTAAATCCTCAACATCTTTTTTGCAAATATACAGTCTATGGAGCGTAAGTGCCAATTTTTATGCTGCAGAAACTCACACTTAACTAGGCATGACTATGAAGGAAAAGAAAACCAATCAATGCCCATTCAAGGTAGTAAGTTCTGATGGATTCCTTTCTTCTCCACTTGATTCATTTCCTCGGAGGTGGCCTACCACGCATCAAGGCAAGGAACAGGCTTCTCTGAACAACGTGCGAAGCCTGGCTCAGCTCAGCCTGTCACTGTGTATGATGTATTAAGTGTCCAGTGTTGGTGAGCTTTATGGAGAAAAGCAAAGCCAGAGGAAAGGATGGTGAATGTTCCAAGGGAGTGACATTTGAGACCCAGGGGGTCAGGGAAGTCCTCTCGGCGGGGACGTCTTTACAGAGACAGAAAGAAACAAGGGATGAAGCCGCTTGAACATCCAGAGGGAGAGGAGAGCAAGAACAAAGCCCACAGGTGAGGACAGGCTGGCCAAGCTCACGGAACAGTGGGGGTGCTCCGGGAGGACTGAGGGCAAGAGGAGACACCACCGTGGACAGGCGGCCAAGGTCCAGACGGTGCAAAACCCAATGAGCTTCAAGACCTTTGGATTCTACTCTGGGCACGATGGGGACCACAGGGGCCATGCTCGCCAATACATAGCAACACCACCATGTGCGCTTTAATATTAACATTAAAGGAGTCAAAACTAAATAAAATTAAAAATTCAGTTTTACGGGGGGAGGGGGAGTCCCACTAGCCACATTCAAGTGTTCAACAACCACAATGTAACTACCAGATTGGAGAAGGCAGACTTAGAACACTTCCATTCTAGAGCATTCTATTAGACTGTGCTGCACGAGAAGGGTTTTTCTGGTTTTGTTTTTGGCTTTTTTTTTCCCCCCACAAGAGGGGTTTGAACGGGGGGGGGGGGGTGACAAGACCTGACATATAGTTTAAAAGGGTCACTGGTCACTATGTGAAGAACAGACGGGGGTCAGGAAGAGGGGCAGAAGTGGGCACACCAGTTTAAGATGATGAAGAGCAGCTGGGGCAAAAATACCAGCGGCTAGGGGCGCCTGGGTGGCTTAGTCGGTTGGGCGTCCGACTTTCACTTAGGTCATGATCTCACAGTTCGTGGGTTCGGGCCCCGCTTCGGGCTCTGTGCTGACTGCCAGCTCAGAGCCTGGAGCCTGTTTCAGAGTCTGTGACTCCCTCTCTCTCTGACCCTCCCCTGCTCACGCTGTCTCTCTCTCTCCTAGAAATAATAAATTAAAAAAAAAAAATACCAGCGGCTATCATTACCAGGATGGTACTCATAGTTGCAGTTAAAAAAAAAAAAAAGTGGTCCAATTCAGGATAAGTTCTGAGACTACAGCCAAGAGGAAGTGCGGGTCAAGTGGACGGCCGGGTGGTGTGGGAGGAGGCACCAAGGCTGGCTTCTCGGTTACCAAGGAGATGAAAAGTAATGAGGGGGCAGAGAGAGGGAATCAAACAATCCGCTTTTGAAATGCTAAGTCTGAGGTGCCCAGGTGACAAAGGATGGGTGACAAGGCGTTTAAGTTCAGAAGAGAGAATGTTATTTCTAAAGAATATCATCTCACTTGTTAAAAATGCAGGCTGTATTCATAAAGAAAATATCTTATTAATTAAGTGAGCCTTCGAAGATTATTAGCGAAACTCATGGCCTTAGAAAATATGGGCTGTGTTGTTCAAGACCCCTCCACATGAAAGGTCCAGAAAGTTCAGAGGCGTCTACCTTGCACATCAGTTGAAAATAACCCAATTTTCTGACTGATGAAAATGACTCCAGGCCACCGGGTGGCAAGTCAGAAAACCGGAAAAGGCAGGTTTACAACGTGAAAGGCCCGAAACAGACACAGAGGGATACTTACCTTAGTTTTGTTTTCTTCCGCATACCCGGGGGTGTCTGTGTCCGGTGGGTAGGCCACTGTGACATAGACGTTATATGGCTTCACCTGCATTTCAGAAACAACACGTGCCCCTCAGTAAGAGGTACAATTCCGTATCGACCCTTATCTACCTGCGTTGGCTGCCGGGCAAATGGGGGGAATCCTGCCCTGATTCTCCCGGGAGGTGGCAGAACGTGGCTGTACGAGAAGAACCAGCACCGAGAAGAACCAGCACCGGCCGGGTCAGGAAACTCCTCTCCGTGAAGATCATTTGGAAGTAAAGGCACAAGGCTGTCCCCGACAACTTCTACTCCAGAAAGGTACAGAGATTCACCTCCTTCTAAGTGCTGCCCGCCCCCACGGAGCAGGCAAGGCCCTGGAGGCCGTCCAGGAGGAGGGTGGACGGCTACAGGGAAGTCTCCTTTCCCCCCCCCCCCCCCCCGAAGCCCCGTGTGCACAGGACAGCGGGACGGGTGCGCTTCTGCCGGCAGACTGCACATCTGGCTTCCTTCCCGGCTGCTTCTGAAACTCTTGTTGATTCCTGCTAAAAATACGTTAAGATCACTCAAAACCCTTTTCCTATGCCCTTGTAGCACCCAGAGCCAGGCCTAGAACTATACGGATCCCCTGAGCGGTGGGCCTGATCAGGAACTCCCTGAGTGACTAGCCCCTGCCCGTTAGGGAGTCAGGAGTCACTTCTCCCCTCCCCCACAGGGGAAACCAACAGGATTCTCCCCCTGGTGGGGCAGCCAGGTCCGACCAGCCAAGCAACTCCAGGAAAGGTGACCTCATCCTTATTTATATGCGGAAACTCCTTCCCAGCCTGAAACAGGTTCTCAGGGTCCTCCATACAAGGCCTCCACACCTCCACTCAGAAATCCACCCCCAACAATTCCAGAAGGTTCTCCTGTGTCAGCCAGGACACACCCTCCCCAAAGATCCTGCTCCTGGGTGGCCCAGCTCCACCCTCTCATCTGGCCCTGATTCTTGTGGCTCTCAGGGTGATAGTTCATACCATCGAAACTTCTGTCCTGATTTTTATTTGCTCTAGGCTCGCTGGTTAGCCCAGGACACCTCGGGGACAGGCTGCTGGGGGTAGGTAGGCCACTGGGCCTCTCAAGGAGGCTGCAAAGTGACCACAGGACTTCCTCAGGCAACAGCGGCTGAGAGCATCCCCGGGGCCCGTCTGATCACACAGCCCTCAGCCTCCCGGGGTCCCTCTGCCCTGCGGACCCAGGGCACTTCTGAAGCCTGTGGGAGGAGCTGTCGGGGTGGGGAGAAGCACGGGCCCTGGCCAGCCATCCCGAACAGCACAACAGCAAAGGGTGACGTCTCTGTTGGTTCAGGGCCGTGGCACTCGGGGCGTGAGAGAGCTCGTTCCCTCGGCGTCCACGGGGCACGCAGCTGCCAGCCCAGCGCCGCTCAGAAATAGCTCTGGACGCGGGCCAGCCAGTGAGGTTGATGAGCAAGCAACTTCTCTTCCACTTGTTTTTGAGATAGTGACTTTAGAAACTGTCTCCCACGGCCTTGCCCTCCGCTGTGCACAGACCGGACGAAGCCGCCACCGGGAAAGCCCGGGAGTGGTGCCTGGCAAGCCTGAAGCCGGCTCCGCTCGGACGATCCTCGGCCGCCCCGGTGCCCCTTCCCCTGAAACGCCTAAGGACTGTGCGCCCCAGCTAATGTAAGACTGCCGGAGCGCTGTTCCTCAAATTCAGGGCTGTGGCTGAGCTGCCAAACGATTCAAACAGCTTTTCAGAGCAGCTTTCCCCCCAAGTAGACGCAGACTGTCGGGGCTGGAAGAAACCAGTCCCGGAAGAGACAGTTCTGGGTGCTGGCATCGCCTCCGCAACCATGAAGTCAGATGACTCTCTCAGTCTGCGGTTGGGCCTCTCCAGTCGCTAATCACCTCATCATGTTATCTACTCATCCAGCAGATACTTACTGAATGAGCCCTGTGTGCCGGAAGTGTTCTGTGAATGAAGATGTGGAAGTCAACAACTCGGAGAGAGCCCCTGCCCCATGGAGCGTCCAGTCTCCTCAAACTCTTGGTCAAATAATCAGTAACATCCAAATACACTGAACTGTATCTACACTCCTTTAATCAACTAGTCCCACAGCCCCAGAAGAAAAGGAAAGGGGGGATGTGCTTGCTTAGACAATGTTGACTCCTAGGGATCGCCCTGTTCTCTAAGAATTTATAAGCCAAGACTTCACTAGCTGACTCCCCTGCTCACCTTATCACCGTGCGTTTCTCCTCGTCCCTGCTGACTGATCATCCTCTGTTTGCCTGCTCACTTCCATCCTTTTCCTCATGTTCTTCCTTCTACCTGGTCTCCATTTCAATCAGAAAGACAACCCTCTGCTCAAGAATTGATTATCCAAAGAATCCCGCCTACAATGTGTGGTTCCTAATTCCATCAAAATAAAGATGGGGCGTTGTGGTTGGGGGGAGGGTCCCGGAAAGAGGAGCAGAGCTGTGTCTGAGAAGCTCCAGAAGTTTACCTGAGCTTACTTTTCACCACTGTGGGACAAGATGGCCTTAGGGGGAGGGAAGAAGGGAAACACAAAGGCTATTTTTCTTTCACTTGGTCTCCTCTACCACATTTTTGACTAGAACCCACCGGAAGTCGGCTTTCCAAAAAGATTAACTTTGAGAATCTTTAGATCATATATTCGTACCTAAAAAACGGAGTTAAAAAAAAAAAACCCAGGAAGATGAAAAATGCAAAAGAATTCTTTCAAAGCTATTCATTGTGCACAAAACATTGCGAGGGCCCTACTTTAGTTTGGGGGGCAAAGGGTGGAATGGACAGGAAGACTTAAGAGTTAACTAAACTAAAAAGGACGATCAGAAAGTACTTAGAGTCTGAGCAATTCTATGAGGTCTGTTTCATTCACAGAAAACACAACCACTGTGGCAAAGCACAGGAAGTATCCAGGTTTCCAAAACACAGCACTGAAGGTCTGTAAGGGAACAACTGTTCCGATGTAAGTCTACTATGAACAAACTGGATTTTGATTATTGAATTTATTTCCCTCAGAGCCTATTTTTCATGATATGTGTTTATTTTATTCTGTGTTTATGTGGGGACATTTTTAATGGAGTCTAAGTACGGACAGAAGTCAAGCAGACTTCCCAGTCCAGGACAGCTTCCTGCAGCGCGTGAATCACACGTGTCACAAAGAGGCTTTGGGGACTGTGTCCGTATTAGCAACTCATTTTCTTTTCCTTCTTCTTTAGTAACATGTCTGTTCTACCATGTAGAAGGCTTGGGGCAAAAAGCCCTAATAAGCAGATTTTTCATTTCCAAAACAGCCCTTCACCTACCAGGTGTCTCAGACCAAAGAAAAGGCGCTGAGGCAAGTAGCCACATGAATCAGGCCGCTTCTGACCTGATTTACAGACACATCATTTGCCCGGGGAACCAGAAGGCCAGACTTTGTTACTGTTTTTCTTACAAAGTAACAAAGTGGCTTTGAGCAACTCCATAATGACTGAAAACTCAGGGTTCTGATCTGTAAGGTGGCAAAATGACATCTGCCTCACATTTTTCACATATTTCACAAAACTGTTAAGGGGCGTCTGGGTGGCTCTGTTGGTGAAGCATCTCTTGATTTCAGCTCAGGTCATGATCTCATGGTTCATGAGATCGACTGGGCTCTGTGCTGACAACACAGAGCCTGCTGGGAATTCCCTCTCTCTCTCTCTCTCTCTCTGCCCCACCCCTGCTCAAGTGCGCATATGCACATGCTCTCTCTCTCTCTCAAAATAAATAAACATTTTAATAAAAAAAATAAATGGTTATTCACAAAGGGGCTTTCTAAGTAAAAACTTCAAAAGAAATGCTGGCATACCTGTCTGAAATTTCACAGCTTTATGCGCCCTGTTGGCTAAACTTACTATAACGACCTATTATTGATTATGAGTATTAAGCAAGTTGATGAAGATGAAATTTGAGTCTGGTTCCTTTTTGATGAGAACGGCATAGTCTACCAGTCTCTAAGCAGCACGTGAGGATTCTGTCACTGACTGGACAACTCATAGGGACCGTAATGCTGGGCACGTACTGCTCTGTCACAGACCATCCAGGGCTCTTCTGCAGATTTTCTAAATCAGAGGTCAGCCAACTATGGCCTGTGGGACAAATCCAGCCCTCTACCTGTTTTTATAAATAAAGTTTTATTGGAACACAGCTATACCCATTGATTTACCTTCTGCACATGGCTGTTTTCCTGCTCTCACAGTGGGCTGTGTAGTTGCAAAAGACACCATCCAGCCCTCGAAGGCTAAAATACTTACAATCTGGGCCTTTTACAGAAAAAATTTGCCAACCCCTAATCTAAATCTCTAACCAGGATCTCCAAGTCACACTCCTACTATGAGAAGGTTGGCCACAATGACTTTTCTTCTGGGCTTTTCACATCACGATGTTGTGTTGTATTTCAGTACATGTCACAACAGAGAGAACTGTACCTGGCTCTTTCAGTGTGTAATTTTGGATAGATATGGGTGGTACTTTCTACGCATCTCCGTTTGACCACAGACAGCAGTCTGCTGCCCACAGCTGAGGTTGTGTGAAGGCTGTCACATCAGGACAAGCACTTATTTTGATGCTAATCCTAACCACACCCTCTTCACAACACGTTCTATTAACGGTGAAAATAAAAAGCATTCGCTTTTCTTTCTTTAAGATACTAAAGTATAAGTATCAGGAGAGCCAAATGCTATTTTTAATCTGACCCTCTTGTTTTACAGAGAAGGAAACAGACCAAGTGAAATGATTTGTCTAAAAGCTGAGAGCTAGACAGTAGCTGATTCAAGCTTTTCCCTCAAACACATGCTAATTTTATCCTTCACTCAGAAAGCAGAGATCTTTCCTTCCGTTAAAGAAACGCTTCTAGAGAACTGCACACTCGCACAGTATTAGACCGAAAATATGGAGTAAATATGAGTAGTACTTCGTGTATTAACTTAAGCAAGCGAAACACCACCCAACCATTTTGCACTATCCTAATTATCGTCTTTATGCAATGAAAAATGTTACCTGCAGAGTTCAAGGGCTGAGTCAATGCCCTTTCACTAATGTCAAGTCTACAAATGTCTGATGCAGGACGACAGCACGTGTCAGGTGGCTGCTAACGAGAGAGGAACAAACACCGCAGGGCTGGGAGATACACACGTGAAACGGAACACAGTGTTTACCTCCATCTGTAGAGCCTCAGCCAATCCCCTGATGGCAAACTTAGATGAAGAGTAGGCCGTAAAACCAAATAATCCCAGCTGCCCTGCCTGGGAGGAGACGAAGACTATCCGGCCCACGCGGCGCTCCTTCATGGTGGTGATCACGGCTCGGCTGGGGTACACGCTGCCCAAGTAGTTGACGCTCATTAGCCTCTGTGGGGACGAAGAGCATGCAAGGAGTGAGCAAGGTCAAAGCCTCAAGGTTGTGCTTCATGGCAGCTCTGTCTGCTCCTCCGATTTGAGATCGTCAGTGGAGCCCAGGGGACCGGGAGCCCGATGGCGTGTTGAGGGAATGAACGATGCTGTAAATGAGCCCCAAAGCTCACGACCTGCCCTCTCACGCCTATTTCAATCTAGTCTTGTGTTCTCACCACGACGGCAGGGACGTCTTCGCTGAAGGCTGCTCAGGATCAGTTTTCTCCTTATCCAAAGTACGCTGCATCTCGCAAGTAATGCTTTTTGAAAGGCAGTTTTAGGAAAACGCCGCCAAGTGTTTCTGGCCCTGTTAGTTCTAAGCTATGGAAACACCACAAGGAGACCAGGACAGTGGCTGACAGGGGGGACTGTGGTTGGAAACCTTGGCTTGACCGTTTACTACCTATTTGATGATGCACAAGAACGTCAGACTATTTCTGCAGGCGAACACAGGGCTGCTACTGGCACTAGCTCATGGCTGTTGCAAGAATTCAAAGAGGAAACACAAGTCAAGGCCTAGCTTCTGACCCACAGATAAGCGCTTGGTCAATGCTGGCTCTTACATCATGATGGGTAAGAGCTTACACAGGTACCAAGAGTGTATCTTCCCTCCGTCCTGAGAACTCTTAAAAATCTTCCACTTTAACTTGGAAATCTAAATGTACTTGCATCAAATTATTTCTACGTGAAGGGGCCTGAGTGGCTCGGTTGGTTAAAAGGCTGACTCCTGATTTCGGCTCAGGTCATGGTCTCACAGTTCATGAGATCAAGCCCCGTGTCAGGCTCTGTGCTGACAGCCTGGAGTCTGCTTGGGATTCTCTCTCTTCCTCTCTCTCTGCCCCTCCCCAGCTCTCGTGCATGTGTGCTCTCTCTCTCTCTCAAAATAAATAAAATATTAAGAAATGTTTCTATATTAAAAGTCTTGTAAAAATACTAGATCTATCACCATGTGAAGCCAAACACTTCATGGAGGAACTTTAAGTCAATCGTGAAATGGTAACTCAACAGAATGTCGGGTGGCATTTTTAGATGGAGATGAGAAACTGCCAAGGGAACTGAGGAAATATTCCTTCTGCAAGTTTAAAACAGCAGAGGGCATACTATTTTTACACTGTGTAACTAATTCAAATATTAGCTAAAAGTACACATGCATGGGTGCAAAGCCAAGGAACTCCAGAAAATCGTAAATGATTGTGTAAGGATGCTGGGATTCCCACTTTCCCCTAAATGTCTTTTAATATCATTATATTGTCTAGATAACAAAAATGCTCTTAAAAAGTACCCAAAAAAGAGGGCACACTAAACCAAGGGCTCATCTCAGTTTCCTTCAGAGACCTAACTAAAATATCAATAAAAGATACATTTTTTTAAAGGCAAGGACCCGCAGAGCACAGAGAATAGGAAAGAAAGTAACATTTTGGAAGTTGAAAATCAGAATGGTGAGTGATAACGAACTTAGCAGAAAGCTGGATGCTATGAGCTAGGGGCAGAGAAACTGGGGGCGCCTGGGTGGCTCAGTCGGTTAAGTGTCAGACTTCGGCTCAGGTCATGACCTTGTGGTTCGCCAGCTCAAGCCCCACATCCGGCTCTGTGTTGGCAGCTCGGGGCCTGGAGCCTGCTTCAGATTCTGTGTCTCCCCCACTCTCCGCCCCTCCCCTACTTGCACTGTCTACCTCTCTCCCTCAAAATAAGTAAATAAACTTTAAAAATTTAAAAAAAAAAAAAAAAAAAGGGAGCAGAGAAACTGAAGCGCAGGACGCACCGCAGAACCTGCAAAGGCTCCAATGGCACCAAAAAAGCACGTCTGGGCAGGAGGGCAGGCGTGGGGATGAAACACAGGGCCGTCGGCTAAAAGTCCACTTAAAACACAGGCAGACAAATCCACAGTCACAATCAGGGATGTCAATACCCCTCTTTCAGTAACCGATGCAACAAGTGGACACAAAATGAGGCTCGAACAATGTTCTCAGCTAACTGGACCTAATCGACACCGACAGAGCGCTGCGCCCCAGGCAGCAGGACGCAGGGGCCCCCGGTACACGTGGGACGGCAGGATACACATGCTTCCCGGCACACGGGGGAGGGCAGGATACACATGCTCCCCGGCACACGGGGGACGGCAGGATACACATTCTCCCCAGCACACGCGGGACGGCTGCGGGAGAGCCTGTATGCTGGGCCAAAAGCCAGTCTCAACAAACCTTAAAGGATTCAAGTCATACCAGGGGTGTCCACTGACCGCAACGGAATTAAATTGGAAATCAGTAAGAAAAAGATGTCCGGAAAACCCCTCAAATATTTGGGAACTAAGTAATAACACACTTTTAAGTAACCCAAGGGTCAAAGCAGAAATGAAAAGAGAAATTATAAAATATTTTCAACTGAAAGTGAAAACACAACTTATTACACCTTGTGGGATGTTGTTATAGCTATTCCAACTTAGATGGAAAGGGTAGCACCAAATATCTGCATTTTAAGAGGGAAGAGGCCTTACACTGATGACCTCATCTTCTAACCTTAAAAATATATATAAAAAGAACAGCAAATATAAATAAAAGCAGAAAAAAGGAAATAATAAAAGAGGGAAATAAGCCAAAGTAATATTGAAGAATAAAACCAAAACGGGAGGCGTCACCATCCCAGACTTTAGCCTCTACTACAAAGCTGTCATCATCAAGACAGTATGGTATTGGCACAAAAACAGACACATAGACCAATGGAACAGAATTGAGAACTCAGAGCTGGACCCAAAGGTATACAGCCAACTGATATTTGACAAAGCAGAGAAGAACATCCAATGGAAAAAAGAGAGCCTCTTTAACAGATGGTGTTGGGAGAACTGGACAGCAACATGCAGAAGATTGAAACTAGATCAATTTCTCACACCATGCACCAAAATAAACTTAAAATGGATAAAGGACCTGAACGTGAGACAGGAAACCATCAAAACCCTAGAGGAGAAAGCAGGAAACAACCTCCTTGACCTCCACTGCAGCAACTTCTTAGTTGACACATCCCCAAAAGCAAGGGAAACAAGAGCAAAAATAAATGACTGGGACCTCAACAAGATTAAAAGCTTCTGCATGGCAAAGGAAACAATGCAGAAAACTAATAGGCAACCCACGGAAGGGGAAAAGATAGTTGCAAATGGCATATCAGACAAAGGGTTAATATCCAAAATCTGTAAGGAACTCACCAAACTCCACACCCAAAAAACAAACAACCCAGTAAAGAAATGGGCAGAGGATATGAACAGACACTTCTCCAAAGAGGACATCCAGATGGCCAACAGACACATGAAACAATGCTCAGCATCCCTCATCATCAGGGAAATACAAATCAAAACCACACTGAGATACCACCTCACGCCAGTCAGAGTGGCTAAAATGAGCAAATCAGAGAACTCTAGATGCTGGCGAGGATGTGGGGAAACGGGCACCCTCCTACACTGTTGGTGGGAATGTAAACTGGTGCAGCCCCTCTGGAAAACAGTGTGGAGGTTCCTCAGGAAACTAACAATAGAACTCCCCTATGACCCAGCAATAGCACTGCTAGGAATTTACCCAAGGGACACAGGAGTGCTGATGCATAGGGACACATGGACCCCAATGTTCATAGCAGCACTCTCCACAATAGCTAAAACATGGAAAGAGCCTAAGTGTCCATCAACAGATGAATGGATCAAGAAGATGTGGTTTATCTATACCATGGAATACTATATGGCAATGAGAAAGAATGAAATCTGGCCATGTGTAGCAACATGGATGGACCTTGAGGGTGTTATGCTGAGCGAAATAAGTCAGGCAGAGAAGGACAGATACCATATGTTTGCACGTATAGGAGGATTAGAAGGAACTTAACAGAGGACCATGGGGGAGAAGAAGGGGGGAAATGGTGGGGGAAAGGGAGAGAGGCAAACCATGAGAGACTCTTGAATGCTGAGAACAAACTGAGGACTGATGGATGCGGGGGGGAGGGGGGCATGGAGGAGGGCACTTGTGGGGATGAGCACTGGGTGTTATACGGAAACCAACCTGACAATAAACTATTTGTAAAAATAAATAAATAAATAAATAAATAAATAAATAAATAAAGAGGGAAATAAATGAAACAGAAAACAGAAAAACAACAGAAAATCAATTTTAAAAAAAGCTGGTTATTAAGAAGACCAATAAAAATTGATAAATCTCTAGTCATGCTGGTCCAGAAAGATACAGGACACAGATTATCAATATCAGGAATGAGGGGGGTGACATTACTACAAACTCTAAGTTCATTTATCTATTTTGAGAGGCCAGGGAGGGGCAGACAGAGGGAGAGAGAGAATTCCAAGTAGGCTCTGCACTACCAGTGCAGCACTGGATGTGGGACTCAAACCCACGAACCTCGAGATCGTGACCTGAGCAGAAATGAAGAGTCAGGCACTTACCGAATGAACCACCCAGGTGCCCACAAACTTTACAGATAGTGAAAGCACAATGAGGGAATATGATGAGTAACTCTGGGCCAATTAATTCAATGACTTAGATGAAATGGACAAATTCCTTGAAAGACACAAGCTACCAAAGTCACTCAAAAAGAAATAGATAAGAAGATACAGAAGTAGCCCTACATTTGTTAAAGAAATTGAATTAAAGTTAGAAACCTTCCCACAAAGAAAACCTTAGGCTTCAGTGGTAAATTCTACCAAACATTTAAAGAAGGATAATATCAATCCTATACAAATTCTTCCATAAATGTGAAGAGGAAGAAATACTCCCCTACGTATGCGAAGAGGCCAGCATTACTTTTACACGAAAATCAGGAAATAACTTTACAAGAAAACTACAGCTAATAATCCCTCAAGAACACGGAAAGGATGAATGGCCAAGAGGGGTCTATCCCCGGAATGCAAGGCTGATTTAACATGGGAAATTAATCGGTGTAATTCATCATATTAACACATTAAAACAGGTAAGTTCTGTGACCATCCCAGTAGATGCAAAAAAAACACCTGCCAAAATTCAACCTCCATTCCTTATAAAGACTCTCAGTAAACTAGGAATGGAAGAGAACTTTCTCAACTTGATAAAGGACATCTACCAAAACAAAACAGAACAGAACTACAGAAAATATCATACTTAATGATAAAAAAAAAGTTTTCTCCCAAGATCAGGAACACCACAAGCATGTCTGCCCTCACAACTTCTATCCTGTACTGAATGTTCCAGCCAGTACAATAAGGGTACCCAGATGGCAACAGAAAAAGTAAAATTGTTGCAGATGACATGATCTTGAATGAAGAGAATCCAGTGAGCACTAGAATTGATAATTGACTTTAGCAAGACTGCAAGATCAATACATAAAAATCAACTGAATTTCTCTACATTCACAATGAACACTCAGAAACTTACATTAAAAAAAAGTACCATTTACATTAGCAGCAAAAAATAGGAAATGCTGAAAAACGATGTGTAAGACCCAAACTACAAAACACTGCTGAGAGATGCTAAAGAAAATGTAAATTAACAGAGATACAGAGCACGTTCACAGGTTAGAAGGCTCGGTATGGTTAAGACGTCACTTCTCCCCATGTGGATCTACAGATTCAATGTAATCCCATCAAAAGTTGAAAATAATCATCCTTAATATCCACAGGTAGCTAAAACAAGAAACTTTAGTTCCAAGAATCCACAATGAAAACCACTAAAAAGGAGAATTAAGGCAAGTGCCCCGGGACTGCCACCAATTTCTGTGACTCACGGGGCAGTCTCACAGGACTCTGCACCTGATCATACCCGTGACTAAGATTTATGACAGTGAAAGGGCACAAAGTAAAATCAGCGAGGGCAAAAGGCACCGGGGTCAAAGTCCAGAGGAACTGGGCACATTTCCCACGGCACCTGCTGAGACCCGCCCCCAGCAACGAGTTCTAACAGCACAACCCCTCCAGTATCCTGGGCAGGCAGCTCCTGTACGCACGAACCCTGTGAGCCTCAGCAAGATAGAATCAGCCAGCCAACCAAACAAATCCTCAAAACAAAACAAAGCAATCAAATAAAAAAAATAATAAGAGCGAATTCACTTTAAATATAAATGAACTCTTATTTTCAGAAAATGCATCAAACCGGGGCTCCTGGGTGGCTTAGTCGGTTAAGCATCCGACTTTCGCTTAGGTCATGATCTCGCGGTTCGTGGGTTCGAGCCCCGCGTCTGGCTCTGTGCTGACTGCCAGCTCAGAGCCTGGAGCCTGTTTCAGTCTGTGACTCCCTCTCTCTCTGACCCTCCCCTGCTCACGCTGTCTCTCGCTGTCTCTCTCTCTCTCTCTCTCTCCTAGAAATAAATAAAACATTAAAAAAAAATTAAAAAAAAAAAAAGAAAATGCACCAAACCTAGTGGCAGGTGTTCTGACAGGCCTTACCCACGATGAGCACACGCGACCACAGCACGGCAAGGGACGGAGACGGAGCAGGGGACAGCCCGGGGCAGATACCGGCCTGGGAGGGGGACGCTCCACCGAGGACACTCAGGGCAGTGGGAAGAGGGCCCACCTGGAGCGGGCCATGAATGCAGAGGGGAGGCCTCGTCACTGACAGAGGCGACGGGCTTTGGGTTCACAGTCCTTTCGTTTTAGAAGTCTGGATCTCACTGGGCTGAGACCACCTACGACACCCGCCATCACCCCTCCCCGTGCTGATCTCTGCCCCCCGCCCTCTCACCCCCAGGTTACACCCTCACCCCTGGCACGGGCACCACCACCTCCTGCCCAGACTCCCTCTGAAGCAGCTCCCCGACAAGCCGGCAGAGAGATCCTCTAACGACCGAAACACGGATCACGCTACCACCCAGCCCACCCTAAGCCCCTTCCAAAGGTTTGAGACTAAAATCCAAACTCTCGATGGAGGCCTTTAGGCCCCAGCGGTGCTGGCCCCTGCTCTGCTCCACATCGCTCCAAAAGCTGCCCCCCACACCCTGCCCTGCACAGGCCTCCTGGTCAGCTCCCTGAGTTTGCCCTCCATGTTCAGTCCGGGTGAGTCTGCAGACGCCCCTTCCGTTAGCCCTTCTCTCACACACACACTCTCATACATTCGCTCACACTCATACACACGCACGTACGCTAACACACACTCACACACACCCGGTGCCTCTCTTGCTGGCCACCTCACCACGTCATGCCGAGATGAATACTACAACCAGTTTCCCCAACTGATTCCCCAGCTGTTGACATCATCTTCAGAATCTCCCTTTGATCACTTACAGTAAAGGTGTGCAGGTTAAGACAACTATCGTATTTAGGCCAAGTTGACACAGGAGCCTTAAATCCCTCGAGTCCCAGACAAGGTGTCCTCTGCTTACAGCTAGGTCTGGACTCTCCTGGCTGGACTTTAAACCCCAGAGGCCACAGTGCCATCCCACCGTCTGCCAGAAACAAGATATCTCAACTACTACACCAGTGGTCTCCTGTTCTGTAAAAGGGAGATATAATTTACCTTCGCAAAATGTTCAAAATCCACTACAACAGTAAAGACTAATGGAATATGAAGAAAAAGATAGTTGATAGAACATCAACTACAGGATAGTTTTTAAATTAAAAAATTTTTTAATGTTTATTTAATTTTGAGAGAGAGAGAGACATAGAGCATGGGTGTGGGAGGGGCAGAGAGCGAGGGAGACACAGAATCTGAAGCAGGCTCCAGGCTCCGAGCTATCAGCACAGAGCCTGACTCGGGGCTCGAACCCACAAACCGTGAGATCATGATACATAACCGACCCAGCCACCCAGGCGTCCCTAAAAGACTCTCTTGTACTTAAGAAGGATTTCAAATCTGCTGTCCATTTATTTAGAGGTGACATAAATTACTAAGAGAAGTTCCCTGGCAGAAACTGCTTAAAAACATAATCAAAAACCTGATGCATTGTCTTTTTGTCTTGATTTCGGAACTCTAAAGAGTCTGCTTGTGAACTCCTTTGACTTACCAGTGTTAAAAACTCTGACGCTTGAGATGAAAACCCAGCACCCCTTGGCTTGCAGAGAGCTCTCTTGAAGAGAGCGCCTCGGTGAGTTGTCACAGTGATGTGTGTCCGTTCGGAGGTGTCATCCCCGTTTTACAGCTGTGGAAGCCAAGGTCCAGAGACTCATCTAAACTCTCCACAGTGGACAGTCACGGTGCCGGAGCCAAAACCTTGTCAAAACCGCCCCCAGCCTTCTAAAACTTCTACGAAGTTTGAATGCATTTTATCCATGTCTTTGGTAAAGCCTTCGCCTGTGGCCTTGTTCTACTTCCAGTACACGGCCTACCCAATGAGCGAAAAAACAAATGTCTACTTACCTCAAAAGTACTAACTTCAAGGTCTTCAAATTTTCCCGAAAGCGCCATTCCCGCACAGTTCACAAGCATGTCTACGGGGCCCAGTTTTTCCTGTGCCTGGAAACATTCATGAGAGCAACCATTAAGGGAGAGAAGAGGAGAATCACGTCGTAGCAGGTCAATGCCAATAAATAATCTACAAAACCATTAAACCTATAGAGACGATTTATGGGCTCCACGCCGCGCTCCCAAATAGTAAGAGCCCATCGAAAGGCAAGTGAATTCCTTCTGGTGAACCTGGCCCTTACTTGTTTTATGACATTCTCCACTTGGCCATAGTCTTGAGATACATCAACTGATATACAAAGCACCACCTGTTAGAAAGAGAAAACAAAAATGATCAAAGCCATGCAGGCATCTAAAACTGTTTCTTAAAGGATTTATTTTTCAAGCAAAGGCAATTCTTTCCGACAGCTAGGGCGTCTCATTTTCTATGCACAGATCGCAGTGTTAGAAATCTGCTGACTGTGCAATGGGAGAGCCCGGTTTTCTTGGCCATTTTCACTGAAAACTCCTGCACAAACTCAAAAACATGTCTTAAGAAATGTTGGTCCAAGTACAGATGTTTAGGCATAAAATCAGTAAGTTCTGGGAATCTCATGTGCAGCATGGTGACTGCTGTCACGAATACTACAGTGTCTACTTGAAACTGGCTAAGAGAGTAGATCTTAAGTATTCTTCACACACACACACACACAGTAACTATGTGAGATGAGGGATGTGTTAGTCAGCCTGAGGAGGTAAGCATTTCACGGTGTAAATGTGTATCAGGTCATCACGAGGTGCACCTTAAATACATTCAGTTTTTGTCAATTATACCTCAGTGGAGCTGGAAGTAGAAAGGAAAAGATATGTAGAAGGCTCCCCTGGGAGTGCCACTCATCTACAGTGACAGAAAGCAGGTCTGAGATCACTTGCAGCCAGATGAGAAGAGAGGACTGCACAGAAAGAGGCCAGGGGAGCCCTGGACATATGGACACGTTCTGTGTCTAGATTTCAGTGGTGATTTCACATGCATATGTATCTGTCAAAAGCCATCAATTAATTAATTTATTTCCTTTTTTTTTGAGTAGGCGTCACATGCAGCATGGAGCCTAATGCAGGCCTTAACCTCATGCCCCTGAGATCTAGCCCTGAGCTGAGAGCCAACTAAGCTGCCCAGGTGCGCCCTGTACCCTTTTGGCGGGTGTGGTTTATGGTATATAAATTATATCTCAGGTTGTTAAAAAGAGTATATCATTTACATGAAGAATAAACATGCTGTACATAAACTATATCTCAAGTTGGTAACACCTTAGGTTGCTAAAAATGAAAACAATAAATCTACTAAATAAACTTTAAAAAAAATACTCCTATTGGAGTGATACCAGGTCTCTGACCACCCTCCCGGGGTCCAGTGTCAGTGTGCACAATGAAGAGATAAGCATGCCGTATCCACTCACCAAAGCCACTTCAGTGTGGCCCCTGCTCAGAGGCTGAGCCAGGTAACTTTGTCTTTCAAGGCCAAGAGTCACCCAGGCCCCTGACTCCGGACTGACCAGCCACTCACAGATTCCCTAGACAAGGGGTCACCAAGGGAAACCCCAGAGCCCACCCAGGACAAACCTGGACTTGCTCTGGGGGTCATAGCCCAGAGAGACGGCAGGAAGAAGCCAGTCTGTGCTTACCATGGAAAACAATTCCACTTAGTCTTTGGAAAGGAAGGAGGGAAGGGAGGGAAGAAGGAAGAAGGGAAAAAAAAGCACATATTTCAGTGCTTGCTTTGATAAAAATTTATAAAATTGCAGTTAAGAATATTAATGGGGACCAACAACGAGCTATTGTTTTAATTTCCTTTTTTGGGTAACGTTTTTAAAGCCAGAGCTTAGCCTCTGACATAGGAATGTTTTGTGTTCCAAGGAGGGTCACAGAGAGAAGCAGAAAGGCATTTCTTGACTTCTCAGTCTTTCCATGAGTTCTTCTCTGTTGGGACTGGCTGCCACACCACGGGGCAGACAGAACAGAGTGTGCACGGGGCGGGGAGCACATACGCGTCAACAGGTGCACCCAGGCATGGCTGCGAGCCCCAGGCGAGGTGGCCCCTTCGCTCACTAGCTGAGCAGAACCTGATGAGGCTGCGGTGGCCTCACCTTCAGAAGCTGGTGACGACAAGGATCCCTTCCAGCTCTAAGAAGACACAATGTGAAGAATAAAGCCACGACGTGAAAGGGGACTGCCTTAGCATCTGATGTGCCAGGCGGGAAGTTTTATTCGATGCAAAAAGGAACCCTATCCAAATGATCTAAATTCCTAGAGAAAGGAAACACAAATGTAACCGAGAATATTCCAGAAGAGTTGCCCTTGGGTTTTATCCCCATAGTCACGGGATTTTTTTACACAAGTCTTTTTATACAGTATTAGATCATTTACTATAAATAGAAGCTATGCCACTGACAAGTAAAATTTCAAAAAGAAGTAAAAAGGGCCAACAAAGGAAAACAGCGTCCACGGGCACTGCTTACGCGAAGCCATGCTACCGACCTATTCTGTGCCAGGAGGACTGAGCTCCCCGGGCCCAGCCCTGATGATCTTCCCTTCCCCCTGACGCAGATGTCAGGGACCTGCCTTGTGCCCTACAGCCTTCTGACTCTAGGGGGCAGGAGCCCCGGTGAAGACGTCCAGGGCACAGAGACGGTGCTGACTGCAGCCTGGCCTTCAGCCAGGAGCATTCAAGCTCCTTGGTTTTAGAGGACATTTCCTTCCCTATAAGAATTTACACGAATATGAAAACAAAACAAAACAAAAACAGGTCTTTGCGGAGCAGGCTGCTTTCCACGTCGACGGGCACGATCAGAGGCCACAGGAGTGGAGAAAATCTCACATGTGTGCACAAGGAGGTGTGGACGTGGATTTCCATCCACAGCACAGAGTGCAAGGGCCAAAGACACGCAACGCTGCACGGGGAACTAAACACGCCGTGAGGCGCCCGAGACCGCGCAGTTAAAAAAAAGAGGCTGATTTATGTTTATCGGTGCAGAAAGGTCTCTAACATATTTTGGGAGGGGGAAAAGCAGCAATCAAAACTGCAGTGAATACCAGTAAATACCAGTCCGAAAGAAAAGAATTAGAAAGTGTGCCAACACCGAGTGTTGGCAAGGATGTGGACAGGAACCACCGGGCATTACTGGTGGGCGAAGCTGAAATACACGAGCACTGTAAGTCCACGATGCCATTTCCGGGCACAGTCCATTCTTGTACCAGGGCACAAAGACCTGGAGAAAAACTTTAGTAATGGCAAGAAATAAAACTAACAAAAAACTGGAAACGAAATAGCCACCACCGGTAGAAGTGATGAACAAAAGGCAGTGTACGGATTTTCAGGAAAATGCTGCACAGCAGTTAAAAAACTGAGCGGTCTAGTGCTATGTGCAGCCACACAGAGGAAATTTCAAAAAACAGTATCTAGAGAAGAAACCAAGTTGCACCAAAATACAAACAGAATGATGTGCGACAAATCTAACAGAGATAGTAAGAGCAGTGATTGCCCAGGGCTGGGGGCGGGGCAGGTTAGGAGGAAGTGGGGAATGACTAGGTGCAGCTTCAGGGGATGATGAGAAAGTTCTAAAATTGATTCTGGTGATGTTTGTGCAACTCTGTGCATATGCTAAACACCACTGAATTGTGCACTTTAAATCGGCGAATTGAATGGCATGTGAATTGTGCCTTAATAAGGCTGACAAAAAATAAGAATGATGCCATAAAGTTCAAAAAGAAGAGAAGTAAACAGTATACTATTTAGGGTCACGTGCACATACAGTCAAATTTGGAAGAAATGCAAAGGACACATCACAAAAGCCAGGTTGGAGGTTGCCTCTAAGAATGAGACCAGAGGATTCAGCTGATTACATATGAGCTCACCAAAGGGGGACGGGGTTCAGGGGCCCCAATAACTCAAATTACTTAAGCTGAGTGAGGAGTGTAATATAACTTGTTGTCATGTTTATACTGAAAGATACACACACACACACACACACTTTTATTTATCCAAAAATTCCATAACCAAAAAAAATTTTAATACTCCTTTCCCCTTAAGTGTTTGTAGGAAGTTAACTTAAATAAATAATTGAAATAAAATCATTTTCTAGAAAAACGTTATTTGATCATTTGTGAGTGTATGTCAAAGTCTATACAGTTTTTTGTGAATAACCTGAATTTGTAGACAATTCAAACAATATTGCCTTTTTAAAAACAGTCTGATATGCATTTTAATTTAAAAAATCTTACATGCTTTCAATGAGCTATTATTCTCAGTTGAAATAACCCTTTTTTCCTCTATACAACTGTGTTGATTAGTACAGAAAATGCATCATGAAGACTGATCATACCTGTTTATCATTAATAGAGTGCTTTTCAATTTCTTTCTTTGCCTGCAGCAGCTTGTCCTAAAAGCAAAAGAGAACAATTAGTTCTGCTGATTGTCTATTTGCCTGCATGCTTGTTTAAATGGAGCGAAAACGCAATTATTTCTGTATTTATTACATTCTAGAAAACACACAAGACGGCACCTGTGTTGCATAGCTATGGGCCACAGTCTACAAAAGAAAGAAGCTATAAAGCTATGACCACATTATAGCGAGGGTTTTAATTCACTGCAGAGAAAGATGACGGAAAAATAAATGAGCTGCAAGATCCCAATTAACAACTTAATTGCTGATGGGCACTCAATCAATTCTAACAAATGTTTTGATCTGACATTATTTAGTTGTGATATAAAAATAAGAACAGTCACAAGGGCACGCAATGCTTCCCAACCCTAAGGGCACATGTGATTTATGTCAAGAGTGCTTTCGTAAGCGACTGTCCACTATCTTCTTCCTCTACTATAAAAGCAAATATAATAAAAGTCTCTTTTCAGAAGGACTGAGAAAACCTATTCCTGGCTACTTTCAGAAACAATCTTAAGAGAAGCAAAGTTCCCTCATAATCGAGTGATTCTTCCAGGGTCTCCATTTTGCTTGTTTTACTCATTTCCAAGAAGACAGTTTACAGTGTCTTAACCTGCTATAAAAGTTGTCACTTGAATACACCAGACCAGCTCCAGAAGAACGGAAGACAGAGGAATCCTTTCGAAAGACACACGGGTTTCCTAAACGTGAACGTGTCTATAATGAAATAGTGCCGTTCCATTAATAAAGATACACACAACGTGCCTTTGTGCAAATTGGAATAAAGAACTACATTAGAAAATTAAGAATTTCTGGATCCCAGGAGGCTCGTCCGCTCATTCACATCTCGCAACGTGAGGGCCACAGAAAGCTTCCGAGCACCTGAAACCTGGGGCCTCCTCTGTTTCCTTTTCATCTGTGTCGAGTATCAGCGATGCCTGAACCGCACATAACGCCATTTTATTAAAGTTGTGTTTTCGCTCCCGTAAAGTGGCTTTGATGCCAAAGCAAATGCGTCGTCAGAGAAGTCCGGATACCCATGAAAGGTAGCCCTTCTGCCCTTCTCGAGCTGAAGAAGAAATTCTGACCATCGAAGGCGACTTCTGAGCCGTTGTTTAAGCATGTCCCCCGGAGGCCCTCCCTGGCAGCCGTGGGCCCCCACCCGAGCGGTCACCCTGCTGTGCCCTCCTGTGGCGGACGTGACGCCAACACCCCCAGGCAGCGATGCCACACCGCTGTCCCCGTTCCTCCTTTCCACAGCCACGAGCCAAGCGTTATGGCGGGCACAGAACGATGGCGGTGGACAGCACGGTCATGGTCACCTCCCCCCACCCTCCTGGAGCGAGAGGACCCCACAACCCAGTGTTCATGTGAATACAGCGTGATTGCTTTGGCTGCGGAACCAACTTTGGCGAGAATAACAGACACTGGAAAAAAAAAAAAAGCAAAGAAAGGAAAAGCAGACCTCGTGTTGACTTGACACAGAAAAAACACTCATTTTGCTACACTGGGGAGGAGCAAGATGGCCCCGCGAAGCCTGGGTTTCACAGAGAGGCACCTGCACGCCCTCCCGGACTCGGATGTCAGCGATCCATCGGCTGGGCTGCCACCTGAGGGTGGTGGCACCTCCCGGCTCCCCGCGGCCAGGTATGCTGGCCCCGGACGACCTGTGACCTCTCCCGTCTCCATGTGCAGCGTCTCTGGTGTTGCCTCACAGCTGTTGAAACTAAGTAAATATTTGTGGAGTTGACCTGACTTCAACCAAGAAGCCTTTTTGCCCTGAATGCGAGAAATAACCAGCGGTTCAAAAACCACACCTTGAACCAGAGAGAGGAGCGACTGCTGGCGCACGTGTGGACACGGGGATGTTGGCACGGCCTCTGTCTGTCCTAAAGCTGAACAAGTGAGTTAGGAACAACACACCCGGGAAACACACCCAGAAGACTTACCTCATTTCGTGCCACCAGAGTTATAAACGCTCCTTGTTTATAGCACTCGATAGCAATACACTTTCCAATCCCGCTGGAGCCTCCGGTCACCTAAAAGCAGAGAGAATAACATCTTCTTGGCTCTTGAAATTTCCCTTCTGGGGGAAGTTTACTTAACCTGGGGGCACCTGGGAGCTCAGCTAGTTAAGTGTCCGACTCCTGATACTGGCTCAGGTCATGATCTCACAGTTCGTGAGTTCAAGCCCCACATGGGGCTCTCTGCTGACAGCGCAGATCCTGCTTGGGATTCTCTCTTTCCCTCACTCTAGGCCCCTCCCCCGTCTGCACTCTTCTTTTCTCTCTCCCAAAACAAATAAACATTTAAAAACAAAACAAACAAACAAAACAACTATGATGGGCTCTAAAACCCAATCTACAAGAACCAGATTTAAAAAGTGTTTCCAACGTTTATGTATTTTTGAGAGAGACAGTCGCGAGCAAACCAGATTCCCGGCTATGGTAGCTTCTACATCCCAGAGTTAAGGAATGAAATTAGTGCAAACATGAAAGATTTTGCTGTCCGTGGGTCCCACTGCTTTGATTGTTTTTTGTACTCTTTTTGGTACTGAACTACAAATTGCACACCCATATTTTTCTGAGTTCATTGGAGGGAAAGTGCCCTATAAATCGAGCTAATAAATAATGCATTAATCAACCTCTGGGTCCAAATTCAAATGATTCTGATTTCCTTCCTGCATATCCTCTATATGACGATCTCCATAAAAGATGAAAGGAACAGTCACCTACTTAGCTCTTCTGAGATTTTACAAGACTGTATTATAAAAATAATATATGATCATTTATATTATTGGGAAATACTGAAAAGTAAAATTTTTCTGCTTGGGCAATTCTGCCCCTCACATTCTATAGCTCATGAATGTTCTACTGACTGTCTTTGAGTTCCACGCTTTCTTCAACCACAGGACCATTGCACGTTCTATTTCCCAGCCAGGAATGCTCTTCTCCCCTCTTTGCATCTAGCTGGCACCCACTCACCCATTACATTTCAGCTTACACATCACCTCATCAGCAAAACTTTCACTGACTGTCCCTTCCCCAACCTCAACCCACTTTCCAGCACGACATCCTTTTTCCTCTACTCCATGGCACTCACATAATCAAACAGCCATGCATATATTTGTGTGATTATTTGATTCACAATCGCCTCTCTTATCACAAACCTCATAAATGCCACAAAAATACCAACTCTATTTCTGCTCCTCATTATATTCTCCACTTAGCACAGTGCCTGGCCTATCAGAAGGACTCAATATATATTCAACTTAGAAAGGCAAATGCAACACTATCATTCTAGTCATTTTTCCTTTGCAAATTATACAATATGGTCAAGCGAGTAGGGGGCCCAGGGTTGTCTGGTGAAGGAAGCAGAGAAGTATCAGAGAAGTACCTGTCCTTATATGGTATCATATCTATATACATACAGATTATACATATATATAATTTACAATATATTATGCCATATATATATATATATCTTATGTCCACAAAACTATAAGGCTTCATAATATTACATTAAGGAGCTATATTAAAACTTAATTGACCATTTCCCTCTATTAGACATTGGATTATTTCCTATGTCTATTTTACTCCCAGATATAAATCATGCTGTAACGAACATCTGTGACCCCATCTCAATGATTTTAAAGTCTTCATGAAGCCACCCCTATACACTGTACCAATGTCCGTGCATGCTTAGGTTCCCCCACTTCTCTTCAGCCTCAAGTCCTCACTATGGAAGAGATGTCCTTGGCAGATAATTAACTAATTATCTACAGAAGGTTACTGTACAAACCTACCTCTTGCCCCAAGTAACAGCTGTCCCTGAAGAGCTCTTTGCTGCTGAGAATCTCACAGCGGCTTTGGCTTCTTAATTTTCACCAGACATTCCACTTCCAGAGCAATTAACAGGCCCCCCGCTGCTGTATGATGGGGTTGCCGCTGCCTTGATGTGCCGCCATGCCACCACGCCCACAGGCCTACCTATCCAGACCCTACCCGCCCTGCAGGGACCAGCTCCAACGCCCTCTCCTCCCAGAAGCCTTCCTGACCCTGTCACCCAGTCCGGTCCTTTACCGGGCACTTTCTACCTTGTGCACACGTCTTAGCTCCCTTACCTGACTGTAAGCCCCTTGAGGACGGGTACCACGTCCAATTTACCTCCCTCACCGTGAGCACAGAACCTGCACTTGATCTCAGCCAAAAGGCCGAGAAGCGACGTGAGCACAGAGCCTGGCATAAACACTTGCTAACTTAGCACTCAGCCTACGTTAATTTGCAAAATGGTGCGCTGTACCATTTCTCTGAAAAATACGATGCCCTCCCCCCACCAAAACTGTAAGTGTACCTATTTGTCATTCAATAAACTAACGGAAGTTGAAGTTAGGAGGCTAATGAGAAAATGTATAGGCTCTAAAGTGCTCCAGTTGTTACTGCTGTCCTTCTAGACTGCAAGAGACCGCTAGCTGGGTACCCTTACCACAGAGCCAAGAACTGTTCGGCCTGATCACTCGTAAGCTTTTTCCATAAGAGCAAGGTTAAAGCACAGTCCCAGGTCAGAACTCATGGGAGACGCACCTTCTAACCAAGCTAATTCTTAGGAGGCATCTAAGAATAAACATAAGCCAAGACTAGGCTATGTTGTTCTGAATGGTACAAGAAAACAGAAGAGATTTTCCTAAGGGCTGAGAAAAGTGGGAGCCAGGGAGGGAGATGCGCAACAACTGACTGGTAAACTCCGCCCAGATGTGGGACCTCTCACTGTTCAATGCAAAATATTGTCTAAATATCACTGTCTCTTTACTCACATCCTGCACCTCTTATTGAGGGCAAGAGACAGGGCCATTTGCTGCAAGAACTGCTCTCAGGCAGCCAGTCCCAAAATGGGAGGATCTGATTTTCCAGTTCTCACCAAGTCGATTCAACAGTTTTCAAAAAATAAGTACAGACCCCTCAATACTTCTGACGTGTTACCGCTATCGCTAGGGAGGTAACACTAGCATATAAGGATTGTTCTAAAAAGACAACAATAATTATGACCTAAGTCCGTTCTTGCTTTCACATAAGCAGACACTCTAAATCTTAGCTCCCTCTCCTACCACCACCTGGTCCGGCCCTAACAAATCTCTAGAAAAAGAATTGTGCCTTTCCTCATCTTGTGACATTAGAAACGAAGACAGATGGTGACATCATGTGAATTATTCATGCCATCCTCACATTATTTATAGTGGCGTATTAAAACAGGATGGTGAAAATAAGAAATTTCTTCTTAGTTTACCCCAACAGACTTATTATCTCACGAATGGCCTGCGGCCCCAAGAGGCTAGTCAAGGTCAAGTGAAACTCCCTCGGAAGTACTGAATCACAATGCTCATTCCTGCTTCCGGCTTTGCCTTTTTTCCAAGTTATGTTCTGCAAACATACGCTCTCAAAGATTCCAACTTTTAAAGCCACGGTTCTGTGGCAGAAGTTCTCTTGTAGATCTGACACTTTCGGAATCTGTCACAAGTGTAAAGTGTTCCTTCCCTCTCTCTCTTTTTAAACAAACTTACACTAACCTCAACTATCTTCTACATCAGGAACAGCAGGCATTGGAAATACACTAGCAGTTGTGCAAAGGACAATTTAAAGAAAACTACTTTTTCTAATTCCCAGATGCTACTCAGGACGGAAAGCACATTAAAATAAAAGGCCATCCCATCCTAGGACAGCTCGGTGGGGAGGCTCCATCTCGGCGGACACACGCCATGTGTCACCTCTGGCACCAGAAGGACCTGTGCGGCCAGCTTAGTAACTGACTCTCCTTATTCCATAACCTCCCAGCTCCGTGCGGCGAGCTCCGAATCCGAAAACGCATGAGAAAGCCACCGCCAGCAGCAAAGTGCTGGGCGCAGGTGAGGAAGGCTCCCACACCTGCAGAAAAGGGATCTCGGAAGCCACGGGCTTCCGGTGAGAAACAAACCCAACCCAGGCACAGTCCCTTCATTCCTAACGCACCTGCAGGTCGCTTAGCTCGGCCCTCGGACTCTGACATGATGGCAGGGAACTGCACTGAAACGACAATCAGCCGACCCCGGGGCCGAGCTCCGAGAGCCAGGCAGTGTAGACGGGACAGAAGTATCCCTGCACCGCCCAGCTGGGACTGCGGTTCTCCCCCGCCCCCAGGTGGGTCGCTTCCTGGGTTCCGTCCCGGGCACAGGCCGTCTTCCCGGCCCGAGAAGCCCCGGCGGGTCCCGGCTGCAGGGACCCCTTCCCTGCCGCCCGCCCCCCCACCGCGCCCCGGCCGGGACCGCGCACCTCGCCCCGCGCGGCCACCGACCGCGGCGTCCTTGGCAAAGTTTCTCCGCCTCTCTGTCCCTCAGTTGACTCACCGGGAACACCGAGGACGAAAACATCCACAACCCACGGATGCCCCGGGGACTAACGAGGGGCTCCCGAGCCCCTGGCGCCCCGGGACCCCGCTCTCCGGCGCCGCGAGGGCCAGACGCGGCGGAGGGCGGGTCCTCGCGGCCCCCAGCAGGGACCCGGCCGGGCCGCGCGGCCGCAGGTGGCCCTCGGCGGAGAGAGGGACGCGGGCGCCGGCCGGGCCTCGGTCACGGGGCGGCCGAGCGGGCCGGGCGGCGGCGGCGCAGCAACAGGAGGCCACTCACCACCACATGCGCCCCGGGGAGGGCGAGGGGCTTGGGGCTGATGAGCGGAGACACCATGTAGAGCAGCAGCACGAACGCCACGAGGAAGGCGGCCGCCAGCAGCAGCATCGCTCGGCGGGGCCGGGCCGGGCGGGCGGCCGGGCGGGCGCGCGGGGCTCGGCGGCGCGGCGATCACGCGCGGCCGCGCGCAGCAGGGGCCGCTGTTTGGGTTCGCGGCGGGCGCGGGGCGGGGCGGCGGCCGGAGGGGAAGAGGCGGAGCCGGCGGAGGGCGCGACCGCGGCGGGGCGGGGCTTCTCCCGGAGGCGGGGCTTCTCCCGGAGGCGGGGCTTCTCCCGGAGGCTGGGGACCCGGGCCTGGCCCCGAGGGTCGGGACGCGCGGCCCGCGGCGTCCCCCGGGGTGGAGGGGCTGGCCTCCAGCGCGCGGGCCCGGGCGGCGCCGCCTGCTAGCGCCTCCCGAAGGGCCGGGTGACGCTCCGGGGTGCGGTCAGGGTGCTTCTTAGGACCGCGGAGGCCGGTTTCCAGGCCCCCCCTCCCCGCCCCCGAGCCGCATCTGGGGGTGGGAGCCGCTCGGGGCCGGGTTCCGCCCTCGCGCGGGGAGGCCGCCGGAGCCGGAGGGGGGCCGCGGGGGGGACGGGGAGGGACGCGATCCCGGGCGCTGGAAACCCCGGCGCGCGGATCGGCAGCCCCTGTCGCAGCCCCGAGAGAGCAAGCGGACATCCGGGCCCCAGGTCATGCTTTCTCGGCGTGCTGGGAACTCGGTCACAGCCCACTGTCGCTTTCCACAGCACCGGGAAAGCTTTACCGTGGAGTTGAACACACCGCTCAGGTCGAATTTCCTTTCCCAAGGCAGGGTTCCGCACAAAACGAAAACAGCCTTATTGAGATCTAATTCACATCCCATGCAATTCACCGGTTTAAAGTGCGTAAGTACAGTCACAGACTTGTGCAACCACCACCATAATCCATTTTAGGACATTCGGTTACATGTCCCCTAAAATATCTTGTATCCATCAAGAGCCACTCCTGGGTTCCTCCCAGCCCACGCCCAGCCCTAGGCTCTCACCCATCTTTCCCTCTCTGTAGATTTGCCTAACCTGGATAATCCATATACATGGAATTCTACAATATGCGGCCTTTCCTGTCAGGCTTATTTCACTTAGCATAATGTTTTCAAGGTTCACCCATGTCATACGATGCAACAGTACATCATTCTTTTTATCACCAACTTGTATTCTGTTGAATAAATACTCCACTTTTCATTTATCCCATCATCAAGTGATGGGCAGTTAGGCTGTTTCCATTTGGGGGCTATTATGAATAATATTGCGGTGAATATTCATCTACAAGATGTTGTGTGGACATATGCTTTCATTTCTCCTGGGTGTATACCCAGGAGTAGAACTGCTGGATCATATTTCACCTGAATTGTCAGATGTTTTCCAAAGCAGCCACACCATGTTATACTCCCACCAACAATATAGGAGAGTTCTAATTTCATCACATTCCCAACACTTGTTATCATCTATCTTTTTAGTGATAGCCTTTCTAGTGGGTGTGACATTTCATCATGGTTTCTATTTGCATAAGGCCCATATTTTTGTTTGCTTGCTTGTTTTTTCCTTTCTGTTGTTGTTCTTAGAAATACAAAGGAGGGGTGCGGGTTAAGGCTCCAACTCTTGATCTCAGCTCAGATCGTGATCTCATGGATCTTGGGATCGAGCCCCAAGTTAGGCTCTGTGCTGACAGCGTGAAGCCTGCTTCGGATTCTCTCCGTTCTCTCTTTCCCTAACTAACCTCTCTCTCTCTCTCTCAAAATAAATAAACATTTAAAAAAAAGAAATAGGAAGGAGCTCAGGGGCAAAGCTAATTTTTTCTCCTTAATTGTATTGTCCCGTGTTAGGCAAATTGCAAGGTTTGAGGGCACAGTCCCCAAGACTTCTGACACCAATTACAAATTTGGGGGTTCCTCCCCCAAAATATAAAAAAAAATAAAAATTAAAAAAACAGGGGCTCCTGGGCCCCTCAGTCAGTTGAGCCTACTCTTGGTTTCCACTCAGGTCATGATCTCACAGTTGGTGAGTTCCAACCCTGCTTTGGACTCAACACTGACACTGCAGAGCCTGCTTGCAAGTCTCTCTCTCTCTCCCTCTCTCTCTGCTCCTCCACAGTTTGCTCTCTCTCTCTCTCTCTCTCAAAAAATAAATACACAATAAAAAATTTAAAAATAAATAAATAAACAAAATTGGGGGTTTCCAAACCACCTTCACTTTTGATACTTCTCTGGGAGGCCTCTCAGAACCCATGGAGGCACTCCCCGCAGCTGTGGTTCGTGACAAAGTCAGCTAAGGGAAGAAGTACGGAGGCCAAAGCGTGGAGGCTAAAGCGTGCAAGGCTGATGCCGCCTCCCATGAGGTCAGGGCAAGCGACACTCCCAGCCTGGGTGTGGGTGTTGCAAGCCAGGGTGTCAGCTTTTTTTCTTGCCTTTGGACTTGAGTTGAAATATTGGCTGTTCCCAGGTCTGCAGCTTGCCTGTAGGTCTTGGAACTTGTCACCCTCCATAATCATGTAAGACAATTCCTTACAATCAATCAATCAATCAATCTTCCATTGGTTCTATTTTTCTAGAGAGCCCTGACTAATGTAGAAGCTATCATGGACTTCAGTGTAAAACTAACTATAAAACCATTAGAGTAAACACTGGATTTTAAGGGTGTTTTTTTTTTTTTGTTTATTTATATTTGAGAGAGAGAGAGCGCACGCACAAGGGGAGGAGAGAGAGATGAAAACGGAATGTGAAGCACGCTCCAGGCTCTGAGCTGTCAGCACAGAGTTCAAAGTGGGGCTCAAACTCAGGAGCCATGAGATCATGACCTGAGCCGAAGTCAGACACTTAACCAACTGAGCCACCTGGGCACCCCAGGATTTTCAAAAGAATGAAGGCTTTGGTCAGTCAGGCAAAAAAAAAAAAAAAAAAAAAAAATCAGGTCACTAGTTTATAAAAGAAATCAGGCTAGTTTCAGATTTCTCCATGGTAACATTCAACATGAGGGAACAATGACACATCTATAAGATCCTCAAGGAAAAGAATGTTGAGCCAAGGATTTGTGGCCGGCTAATCTGTATTTCACCCATTGAACATGTAATAATTAAGGAAATGTTTTGCCCATGAGTATTCCTTGAGGAAAGTATTAATGCAACGAGCCCACTCGGGCTGCTCTAAAGCAATACCACAGTCTGGGTGGCTTATAAACAACAGAGATTTATTTCTTACAGTTCTGGGGGCCGGGAAGTCCAAGATCAAGGTGCTGGCAGACGTGGTGCTTGGTAAGGGCTCACTTCCTAGTTCACAGGTGGTGGCTTTTCACTGTCCTCACGTGGTAGAAGGGGGAAGGGAGCTCTCTGGGGTGTGTTTTAGAAGAGCACTAATCCCTTTCCTGAGACCAAAATCAGCTCTCAAGGCCCCCCTCCAAATCCCATCCTGTTGGGCATTAGGATTTAACAGAACTGTAGGAACACAAATATTCAGTATGTAGCCAGCCCAAGAGATGACTGGAAAGATTTAGTAGTGCCTTTGGAGACTTTGAGAAATTAATATATTTAACAGTAGGACAAAGACTAAAACAAAGGTAGGGGGTAGGGAACACAATGCTTTGTAATTGATATAAACCTTAACAATGTAAAATAATAAAAGACATGCATTTTAGGAGGGGAAGGAGGAAAACGTGGAAGGTAAGAGTGACTTTATAAATGACGTCATTTATATCTGAAATCTAAAGATATCATTTCAATCTGACAAATGAAGGAATAGAAGTATAGACATTTAAGGGTACCTGGCGGGCTCAGTTGGTTGAGCGTCCAACTCTTGGTTTTGGCTCAGGTCACGATCTCACAGTTTTGAGCCCTGTGTTGGGCTCTGAGCTGACATTTCGGAGCCTGCTTGGGATTCTCTCTCTCCCTCTCTCTCTGCCCCTCCCCCACTCATGCTGTCTCTGAATCTCTCAAAATAAATAAATAAACTTAAAAAAATAAAAAAGCATACACATTTAACACCATGAAGGCAAACATTAAGAAATACTGACTCAAATCAGGTGAGTAGGGAAGACAGAGGAAGTATGTACATTTTATCATTGTTTATAGCAAAGGACTAAGATATTATCGAAGGAGGTAAAGGGATAAGGAGCCAAATGTAGTGTAATTACATAGGCAGACAAAACAGTACAGGCTTTCCTAATGACAGACCTGAAAAAAGGAAGAGGGGAAATAACACTCTTTTTTAATGTTTTTTTTTTTTTAATTTCTAGGAGAGAGAGAGAGAGAGAGAGAGACAGCGGGAGCAGGGGAGGGTCAGAGAGAGAGGGAGATACAGACTCTGAAAGTGGCTCCAGGCTCTGAGCTGGCAGTCAGCACAGAGAGAGCCCCACGCGGGGCTCGAACCCATGAACCGCAAGATCATGACCCAAGCGAAAGTCAGACGCTTAACCGACTAAGCCACCCAGGCGCCCCGGAAATAACACTCTTGAGGGATGACAGGATTGCATTCCCTTGTGCTTCCACAGCTTGGTGCTTCTGGGGCCTCAGAATTCTGTGTTATGCGAGGCTGGCTGGCACCCACCAGGGGGCCCTGCCCTTTCCACTCACAGCTGCGAGCAGGGCTTTCGGTGCTTCTCAAACTGTGTGGAATGTCCAGTTTCCTTTTGTTTTCCTTTCTGTGGCAAACCAATCAGAAAAATCGAAGGAGAACTAACCAAAACAAACACATGCGAAAATACAAGCTTTAATGATTTGCTATTAGAGTCAACAGGCTTAAAAATAGTAAATATAATCTGAACAAACATAGTATCGAGAAAAAGAATGACAAAATTGCTAGGCTCTTCGTTAAAAGTATGCATGAAAGTGATTCATACAGAGGATTGCTTTTGTAGTGAGCTAGACTTTCCAAAGATGGCAGCCACAATGTCTCCAGTCTCCTATGTTCTTTTCTAATGTGACACTCCTCCCATCGAGCAGTGGGGTCTACATCCCCTCCCCTTGAACCTGCGTTGGCCTTTGGACTGCTTTGACCAATCAACTGTGGCAGAAATGACACTGTAGGACTTAGAACAGCAGGC